TTAAATGTTACTAACGTTATTAAAATTATTAATTGTAAGTTTGCGGTATTTCTCCCAAAGTTTAAAATAAATTTAATTCTGTCAAATAATTTTTTTATTAGAAATATAAGCACCTTAATAATTTCAAACACACAGAATCAAAATTATAAAAAAATATTAATAATTATTAGCATTTTTCTAATAATAATTATTAAAATATTATTTTTTATTTTTTTATTAGAATTATGTTATATAGATGGCTGTTAAAAGTATTTTAGAATTATATTGGTAGTAGTTGAATTCTAACATATTCAAGATATATGGAACTGATTATCATCACCATGTAAATTTTATTTAATTTTTTTTATTTTCTAATGCCTCAATTTTTAAGAATATTTTTAATTTTTCAACACTCATAAAAGATATCATATCATACAAATGCTAAATATCATTTGTAAATATATTCTGAGTTTTTTTTTTAAAAGAAGTTACATGTTTTAAATGATTTAAGAATACTCAATAATTTAGGTTTCACATACTGTCACAGTAGTACTCAGGGTTAAAAATTAGTTCTCTTTTATTGTTCAGCTTTATTAGGAGACATCATATTTATATCTTATTTAAGGTAACTGTGAAGACCTTGACAAAAAAATCACATTTTAACGAAAATATAAAAAAAAAGGTAACTTACTTTATTCAATTTCTCAAAACTAAGTGATAATAAAAGTGGACGATAAAGAGATAACAAATCCAAAAAATAACAAGTCTATAAAACATGTTTATTAGAATTTTTATAGGAGACTACGGGGTAATAAAAAAATACAATGACAACAACAACGACGAGCATGAACAGTGACAACAGTTATCAAGAATACACGTATAATACTTCTAATAAACATTTATCCTATAATTCTAATATTTTCTAATAGGTTGTAACATAATTCCTAAATTCTATAATAATTATATTTATGTATAACTAAGCATAAATTTATCGAAAATAATATTAAATTATTGTCTAAAGAAAGAAAATTTGTTAAATGCTAATTAAAATGAAGGTAATGGTTAAATTGTCTTTTTAAAATAGTAAAACATTAAAAAAAGAAAACTCAAATTAATATGAAGTTAAACGGTAATTAAAGTTGGAATTGTTAGTATTGTATCGGGGACAAAATTAGAAGTAAAAAGGAGAAAGTTTGAAGTGTGAAGTGTCAACTCAACTCAACTCAACGCTGAAGAATATGAAACGAATAATGTGAAGAGAGATTTATTCAAACACCTAGCCGGCGTTTCGGGCCAATCAAATCGTTAATCCATTTGCCACGCCATTTCTACTTTCTTTGTCAACTCTGAAGTCTCACACTATTCAATATGACACGTAATTTTTATTAATATTTATTATTTTGTAATGTTTTCAATTTGTTTTTTAAATATAGTCTTAATTTTTCAATAAACGTGTTGCTTTAATGACATGAAAATAATGAGTAATTTTAGGACAAATCATCAAGAATAAAACAGTTTCATTGAAAGGTGACATTATCAATCAATATTAATTAACTTATTGTTTTAAAAAATATTTTTCAATTTTTTTAGTTTTAAAAAAATGATTTTTTTAGTTTTAAAAATTAAAAATCATTTTTTCTTTTCATTAATAGATATTAAACGTTTTTATCTATTATATTGAATCAATAAAATTGTTTGACCGGAAAGTGACAACATTAGTCCATTTCAATATTTTATAAACGACTAAAATTCTAGTCGTGGTGAAAAGAAGAACTATAACTTTTTTATTTGCTACTTTTAAAAAAATAATTTCAATATTTTAATTTAAAAAAATCATTTTATTTTTTTTAGTTTTCAAAAATTAGAAAAAAGAATTATGTTACAGTTTTTTTAATACGTATTGAATATTTTTACTAATAATTATATTAAAATCATTTTTTAACTTTTTCTGTGACTTTTATGATTATATTTTTCTAAAATAATTTGTAAAAATAAAATTATCAAACCATTTTTTTAATTTATGTTCAAAAATAACTTTTTATAATTTTTTCCAAACTTATTTTTGAAAATAAATTTTAAAATTAATCTAAGTCGATTTTTAAAAATAAAAAAATGACAATAAATTAAACAAATACTTTTATTAATTAATTGGGCCTAATTTTATTAATATCAATAACTTGTAATTTAATAATATTTTTTATTTTCAATATATATATATATATATATAAAGAAAATGAGAAATATTTTTTGTAAGAATAATTATACTTTTCATCCTAGCAATTTTAATTTCTTGAAATATAATAATTCCAACAAGTAATTAATATTAATGATTGCATGTTATTAAAATAAATAATGAGTATAATTACTCTTGAGATATTTTGATTATATATATATATATATATATATATATATGTATATATATTACGAGAATTAATAATAATAATTTACTTAAACATGTGTTTAATTCTTTAAATTTAAAATAAATCTTTTTTTTTGTATTTTCAATTTAAATTTGATATACATGCAATTATATAAATTGGGAATAAAATGTTTTAGTTCTTCCATTCAATCATCTTATATCTAAATGTAAAAATGAATACCTTTAATAGAAACCAAGTACGTGGGAAATCATTCGATGATAAAATAATGTAAAATTAAAATATATTATCATATAAGTAAGTGTTTTAACAAAATGTGAGAAAGAGAGTAGGAAAATTAATTTTAAATTTTAAAAATAAAAACAAACTTGCTCCAAATTACATAAAATCTAATTAAGTAAGTCTTGTTTGACATTGAAGATTATACAATTGAATTCAATGTTGCAAGAAATACTCATTTTTCCACAAAAATTGTATGACTACTGGATCATGACCATTCACATAGAAAAACACGCAAACTTTTTTAAAGCCTAAGACGGCAACAAATACTATGAACTTTCTCCTCTTCGCCCACCTTCAACTAAATTGCATGCTAAATTTGATAAGAAATTTTGTTCTGAAATTTTTATAGTATCAATTTTATTTCATGATTCTCCCTAAACTATGTGCTAAGTAAAAGGATAATCATGATTTTTAGTAGCTTTTATTTATAAGACTTGAGTTTATATATATATATATATATATATATATATATATATATATATATATATATATATATATATATAAATGAGCCCTTTAATATAACAAGTATATTAAAAACAAAAAAACTAGGTCAGCGCGAAGACATGAATATTAGTAAAGTACTTTTAAAAAGAAGAACAGTGTTTACGTGTGTGCATGCATTTAATGCAAACTCAAACGTTTACTTTGAGTCGTCTCAATGACTGCAAAACTGGGTTCCAATCATATTAATTACGTAGCTACCCACGTTCCCATACAAAACTCTTCACAATACCCTCTTTACCTTCTTCTTTATACTAATTTCATTGTTTTTTTATTAATACGTACACAAATAATTTGTATAGTATATTAACCTAAAATATAGTCAGTAACAGTCTATCTTATTCATGCCTATATATTATTATAAATAAGTCATAGCTTGCTTTTCTTTAACTCCTTTGACTTAGTATGTAAGATTTTTAAATAGGTTAGATTATCAATTGTAGTCACACTTAGCTTATTCATTCACAAAATCAAGTTAATGACTATGTTTGTAAAATATTTTATATTTGTATTTAATTGAAAATGATTATTGATGTGATTTTTTATGATTGCATGATAAAACTATTTCGTTACTCACTTTTTTTTTTATCTAAATACTCCATACAACACTTGTTTATTGTAAGTTGTCTAAGTGAAACAGTGTGTGTAAGAGGATTCAGTTTCACTTTTGCTTTATCCTTTTGAATAGATGCTTACAAGTTTATATGATTTAGAAATTTTCTTCACGTTGTTTTGCATTTTTATAGAATATATCTGCTTACTAAAAACACACTTTAGTGGAGAGAAAAAAAAAGGAAGGGAGAAGAAACACAAATTAGTAAATTAATCACGAATAAGGAGAGCAAATCAGAACCAACAAATCAACCCTCAAAATCAGGGAGCCACGAAATCAATAAAAAAAATACTTAAAAAGGATAAAGAGTTAATAATTTTATGTTCGAGTTTCTTAAATATCAAGTAACACTTAGGAATCATTTAAATTATTTTTAGTATAAGATAAAATATATAAGAATTTAAAAGGGAAGATTTATTTGAACAAAACTATTAAAAAAATCAGTAACATTTTTACGATGTCATCAAACGAATTGATAAAAAAAAAACAACTATCGTAGTACTCAATTCACACCATAATATAGTATGATTGAAACGAACACTTGTTGCAAGTTGGCCATGTGAATGTCAGATTCATCCCATTGTTTTGGTAAATGATTGACTTCCATAGCCAACATGGTTATTGGTTGTTATGAAGCATTTCATTCCTTTCTCTTTAGGCATATATAACTTCAAAATATAAACACCCAACACAATCAATCTCACATTTGAACTAATCTTTTCGTTTACCACAATTAATTTTGCAGCATTTAAATTAGTTTAACAAAATTTCAAGTATTGATTGGGTATAACGATAACATGCTCAAACTAAATAACATAATATAATAACATCTTACATTTCAAGACTACACTGGTCACGACTAATTCCCCTGGCTTTAATTAATTCTGGCTCCCATTCTTGGCCACTTTTTCTTCCTTTGACCACCGAAACTGTTAGAATGATGAAATTAAAACTTCGTCATAAATATTGATATGTCACGTTTAGACCCTTGACCTAAGACCAACACATCGAGCTCTGTAATACATATAAAATTAATTAAGCCGCATTCTCTTACCATTTAGCTCCACCTCATTCTTCTCGCTCCTTCTTATAGTTTTCCTTTCACACAAACTCCTTTCTTCATAAACACCATTTTTTTCTTCTTCTGGTTTTCACAAACCTAGTTCGCTGACCAATTTTATTTTATTTTTCATATGGAGGAAATAGAAGTGCCTCAATACTTCATCTGCCCGATATCCCTCCAAATCATGAGGGACCCCGTTACGGCCATAACGGGCATAACATACGATAGAGAAAGCATTGAACAATGGCTATTCACGAACAAGAGCACCACATGTCCCGTGTCCAAACAACCCCTCGCAAGAGACTCTGACCTGACCCCTAACCACACTCTTCGACGGTTGATCCAAGCCTGGTGCACCCAAAACGCTTCACTTGGCATCGTTCGCATTCCAACCCCCAAACCCCCTCTCAACAAAATCCAAGTCCTTAAGCTCCTCAGAGACCTCAACAACCCCAAAAGCCTCGTGCAATTGGAGCTTCTTGCCTCCGAGAACGAGAGGAACAAAAGGTGCTTGCTAGAGGCTGGGGTCCCAAGGGCCATCCTCATCTTCATCGTCAATTGCTATAGAAAAGGTCAAATCCAAAAGGGTCTCCAAGAAGCTCTTAGCATATTGCAACTTCTCAAGATCCCCAAGGAGGAAGTGAGTCTCACTGCAAAAAAATTTAAAACTTTTGATTAAATTTAACAATGAAAATTTTCCTTTTTTCGATATTTAGTAATATACAATATTTATATTGTGTTGTGGATACAATGGTTATATAGTATTAATTATAATTGTTTTCAATTAGAATTGGAGTTTAATATATCACTGAAGGAAAACTCTTCATAATATTGTGAAAGAAGCTAGACACTACAGCCAAAATAGCATTCTCAAACCGTTTATTGAAACCTTATATTCGAGATTACATATCAAATGTTTTCTTATGATTCTAATTTTTCTTGTAGTGGACTTTGCTTGTGAAGGACAACGACCAGACATTGGATTCTCTAACATGGATTCTAGGCAACGAGAAAATGGAAAACTCCATTGCCGTGAAATCCCACGCGGTTGTACTTCTGAAAAGGATCATCAACAAGGGCGACACGTGTCACGTTAGGGAGAGACTGAAACCCGAATTCTTCGAAACAATGGTGAAGATTATGAGACACGGGGTGACCCAACAAGGAACGAGTGCAGCACTTCACGTTCTGTTAAGCGCTTCTTCTTCGACGCGAAACAGGATGATGATGATGGAAGCAGGTGTGGTTCACGAACTCGTGGAGATCGAACTGGGGGCGCCGGAGAAGAGAATCACGGAACTAACGCTAGCTATATTGTTCCACTTGTGTTGTTGCGCCAATGGGAGAGCCAAGTTTTTGAGCCATGAAGGGTCCATTGCGGTTGTGACGGAGAGGATACTGAAGGTGTCTGCGGCGGTGGACGATAGGGCCGTGTTTATTTTGGCGATGGTGGCTAAGTTTTCGGGGACAAACGCGGTTTTGCAGGAGATGTTGAAGGTGGGAAGCATGGCGAAGCTTTGCATGGTGCTTCAGGCTGATAGGGCCAAGTATTTGAAGGACAAAGCCATGGAAATTCTGAAGGAACACACTGGGGTTTGGAGCGACTCTCCTTGCTTTCATCATACGTCGTTTTATAATTACGTGCAGTACTGATATGAATCGCCATGTGTGACATCTTCGTAACTTGGAGGTTTCTGTCACCACCATGCTTTTCTTGTCTATATACCTTGAAGAAGCACCAAAACTTTAGAATAAATTTTAGTTTTTTCCCTTCTTTTGGAAGATATTAAACTATATATGTTTAGACGATTTTTTTTTAATGAATTTTGAAAGGGAAAGGTAATATTTTTTTATAATTTAAATTATCTTATATTAATAAAATATAATTTTTTAAAAATCTGTACCAAATTACTTTTATAAATTAGTTTTTACTTATATATGTGTTAAAAAAATATTTTTTAAAAGTTAAGTTATATTTTACTTATATATAAACTAATTTTAATCGTATAAAATATGCTTTATATTGATCATTTTAATTCTTTCATATATTTTAACACTTTTTGAAACATCTAAGCAATATACTATTTATTTCTCTTTATCTCATGTATCACATTATATTATCTATTTTATGTTTATTTCTTTTTATTTTTAATTATAATTTTTAAGTCTTCCGTATTCTAATTATAAAATTAAAATATTTACCATGTGTTAAATGACAAGTCAATCTACAATTACATTTCTCACAATTAAAAATACTTATTTTAACGGTTATAAAGTATAATAAATTATTATTCTAATGATTAAAATAAGGATAAAGATTAATTGACAACCCAATTTTTAATATATATATATATTCATCTAACGACTGTATTTAATAATATAATAATAATTTTAATCTTTAAAAGCTTATAATAAATATTATAATATTAAACTGAATGGAAGTTTTTTTGGGCAGTTATCAATATATCAGCATCCTTTTTAAGTGGTCAGAATTAGACATGTTAATAATAATTTGCTTATGTAGTACAGTACTCTTTTACACATAGAAAATGTAGCAATCTTTACGTGTAAATATAAGAAAATCTCAGAAAAAAAAAATATGGAAATGAAAGAAATTGGTATGGATGAGCCTGGAAGGATTGAAGTGGTGTATAAGATTGAAAAATACGTTTTGATAGAAACAAAGACTGAAAAATAAATAATAACAAAATAGCAGCTTCCCAGTATGAACCGTTGAAAATAACTACCACCAAGGTCAACGCTCGGATTCTACGTACTCTCCATTTTTTTTACAATACAATAAGATAATAATAATAATAATATTAGGGTTATTTTTTTATAATAATAATAATATTATTATTATTATTATCGTCTTCGTATACAAACATGACCTACGTGCATGCATATAATCCTTGGAGCCCTCGTATAATCATTTTACTTATAGAAAAAAGCCATAATTAAGAAATATTATTACTCCTTTTAATCATTTCTTTCACTCTTTTTCTTCATATACGACTTTCAATGCTAGGGTAAGCTTTCAATTTTCAACAATATGCATAACCATGTTACATGTAGGTGTGTCTTCAATAGTTTCATCCATGTTTTTGAAAATTGGATTAGATATGGAATTAAATAGGAAACAAATTTCAAAATAAATTACAAAAGAAGGCTACTTTTCGACTTTAAATAAATTGAATTGATTTAACCGTTAAATATAATTTCACATTTTCATTATATTTATATCAAATTTTGTTAAGAAATACAACAATAAAAAATAACAAAATAATAAAATTCTAAAAAAATATATTGCGTTATTTTTTATTTATATAATAAAACATTCAACTTTTATATTAATATAAGTTATTGTATATATATAAAAGTGAATTTCAATCTGATATAAAATTCTGAAAAAAAAAATTATCCAATAGTATTTAATAAAAACTATAACAGTATTACTGATATTGTTATCATATAATAAAGATTTTTTTTCATGCATGCATTAGAAGTGCTTTTATTATATTTTGATATCTTGTTGTGAACACAATTTGAAGTTAATCTGAAGTATTATTTTATTTTATTATGAATCTAATAATCATTTGACTTATGTTGTCCAAATTATTGGATTATTTCATACTAAGCATCACAGTCAAGAGTTATTAATATCATTTACCTCTTCCTCTTCTTATACTTCTTATAATTATTTATTTATTTATTCATTATCATTATTAGAGATCTTCAAAATCTGCTAAATAGATTTTAGTAATCTAGAGTTTTATTTTATCTAACAAATTATTTATAATTTTGGTAGTTTACTATTTAATATTTTGCATAATATTCAAATTTATATTTAGTTATCAATATTTTGATAATCATTTGATTTTTGTTAAATCAATAAATCTTAAATCAAGATTTTCGCCAGTTCGATAACTAGTACAGTTTTTAAAACCTTAATTTTTCTTCAATAAATTAGATTATGCTATCTTATAAGTTAGGTTTTTTATATATACTTTTCCTAATCACTAGAAATAAATGTGAGCATTTTTCATACATCATTCACAGACACTCAAATCCCTTTTTTTTTTTTTTATTATTATTATAAAATAATCGTATTAGCTTATCAAAATTTTCAAAATCTCCTCAAGAATGGTTGATACAGGCTACAAAAATGATTGCGCCCATTTCAATTTAATGGGCCCATCAATAATTTGGGCCATATTGGTCCATTAAAACTTGACGGACCTATTCAGCAATATGTACAATGTAACTTCAAATTTTAATTGATGCAATTAAATATTTGTTGTATGTCACTTAACCATGCATCTATTCTTTTTTTTTTTTTTTTTTGTTAGTAACACTGTGTATCAATCTCAGCTGATCCCATTATTATGTACAAACAAGACATAAATCAAGTACAATTAAACTAAGATAAGTCTAATCGTAACATTTATGATTAGTATACTTATGACTGAAAAATCTTATATATAAAATCAGAGATTAGTTGATAAATTATTATTATTATTATTTATTTTTTTATTTTGGCTAAGGTGTGTTTCATATTTTTATAAAGTGCTACTTCCCTTTTACGTTCATTATAATCACTTAACTCACTCATTATGCTACGTCCACCTTTGAAGCAAGTCAACCAAAAGAACTTCACCAAATCAAAACTTCAATTTGCACGTGATTTTAATTGCTAATGTTGACATTAGGATGAGACAGTTGACCTGTTAAAACAATTTGTGGGTCAACAAGTTGTATTCACAAACCCTATAATTATACCCACCATATATTCGTATTCCTAGTATAACATTAAATGTTAGTCATAAATAATTTAAAATTTATATATATATATATATATATATATATATATATATATATATATATATATATATATATAAAGTCATATTGTGAAATATTAACTATCAATTAAAATATCTTACATTTGATGGAATACGTAATGTTGATAAAAATTTATGATATTAATATAAAATGTTTCGTGTATGATTTTATTCTGTCTATATAATTATAGATTTAGCGGCAGACTTACTAAAATATATCTAAAACGAGTTAAAAATATCAATAAATAAGAATATTATGATGTCAAAACGATGGTGAAATAATGGCCCTTCGCCGAACGAGGCATTATGAGTTGGGGCACGTAGTGGATTAATATTTTTAAGTTCATGTTCTTTTTTCTCTTCTATACCTAACTTTCCCCACATAATTATATGTTGATATTAGTTTTAGTTAACCTATTTTGTGCTAGTAAAACATAATTATAAAAAGATGGAAAGAACTACCACCTTGAAAAAAAAATCAATCAAATCTTACCATATATAAATAAAAAGTTAGTTTTAACTTTCAGAAATTTAAATTAAAAGTTAAAAACTATCACCTTATTTTTTTAAATTAAAAATAGTAAAATAAATATCGAAATATTTGCTTAACTAAATGTCCTTATAATGTATAGAGCCGTTCACACCTTTTTTTTTTTATAGTTTCATTAAGAGTGTTTGGTAAGACACTCTAGTAGGTCACGAGCTACTTTCATTAGGTTACAAGTTATTTTGACTATAATAAACTTGTTTGATACATTCTTAATATATAATTTTTTTTGGTAAACTATTTAAAGTAGTTTATAAAACTAAGCTAACTTATAAGTTCCTTTTTTTTTTTTTAAATATTTCATTTTATCTTCATTACTAGTTTATAACTAAAATTTTGAAATTAAAATTTTACTCTAAAAGTGAAATAAACCAACATCTGGTCAAACACAAATGTAACTATTTGAAACCATATAAAGCATCTGTCAACTACTTTAGAAGTTTGTCGCGTACAAATCGTGCTTAAGGACTTTTAATTGTAATATTATGTTGATAATATTTTTGATTAATAAAAATATCGTAATTGTAATTAATAATATAATAATTTGTGATGTTATTATGATATGAATAATAATATATTTGTATAGTTGTTACTATTTTATATAATATAATAATATTGTTATTATAAATGATAAAAAGTAATATTCCGATTAATAATTTAGGTAACATAGTTGTTTACATATGTAGTGGTAGATTTAAGATTTTAAGATGGTAACATAATAATAATTTTAATAATATCATAAATAATTACAAGGTCTACCGTCTATGTCAATATAATTAATTGTTAACTTCAGAAAGATTATTAGCATGTGAAGTATGTGTTTGGATTGATAATTTCATATTTAACTTAAATAAAAGCTGAAGCAATTCAATTAAATGTTAACAATAACTAATAATAAGTTTGATGTATATTAGGTTTCAGTTTGATTTTTAAGTATCTAATAGTTATCAATAGCAAGTTTCAATTATTGGAGCGCATCAATATCAAATGATTTAAATTAAAATTGAACTTATAACTCGTCTTGATTTGTGTTTGTCATAATAAACTTTTTTTATTTGATGTACATGTATAGAACGTGTCAAAAAGAATCCCATAAAATAAAATGAAAATTTAAAATTATTTCTACCTTTCATCCCCAATTAAAATTTTATTTTAATAATTTGAAAAACTTATCGTGATTAGAGAATTATCAAATGTATGGTATAGATATTTTTTGTTTTAATTTATTAAAATCTCTTTTAAAAATAAAAATATGTTAAAACTATTAAATAAATAAATAATACCATAAATATAATTATTAATCCAAATAATACTATTTTAGTGCATTTGAAATTAATCTGTTTTCTTTTAGCAAGACAAGACAAAATTGTAACAAACCGTTAACGAAATTAACATATTACAGTTGGGAACATTTATGATATATTGGTTTGGTCATTCCCTCGGGTTTAGAGTTGGGTGGCGGCTTTGACATTTTAAAAGAAAAACTACATGTGATGCTGTCGTTTTCGATACACATTTCACCACCAACACGTGATATACATTTCATTATTTTCATGGCCGACATTTCTTTAATCTCGTTTTCCTTTTTCTCATATCACTTTCTTTCTCGTGCTCGTTTTGTTCCGGTTGAACGTAATATGAAAACTGTGTAAATGATTGGTTCTTATCTTTTGCTTCTAACACTCATTTCACGTTATTTAAATTGTGAGGAAGAAGAAGATCGAGTTTTCAAAAACTAACACATGAACATAATATTACTTGAAAGAGGAAAATATTGTTAATTTATAAAAGAGGTACAATCCGGTATATATATATATATATATATATATATATATATATATATATATATATATATATATATATAATGATATGAAAGAAATAGAATGACTTTTTTTGCACTATTTTGTTAGCAAAATTTGGGTCACGTATATATATGATACATATTTAAATGTGTTAGAGGTCATTATTTATTAAGCCAAATAATAAAGTGATCTGAATAAATTAAAGTTTTGGTTAAAGGCGTATGTCATGAAAATATAATTGTGTAGAGACCATAGAGTAATTTTTAATTTGATGAGGGGCCAAATTGAAAATACTAAAACTTAAGTAATTAACCTAATTTTGGTTATATAAAGGGTCATGGTCCCCTTCGAGAGCACACGGACGAATACGGATATAGTCCAGTTCTTTTCTTTCTATCCCCATCAGAGAGAAAATCCATAGGGAAATACAGGTGCTTCTTCGGTGGAAGACCATAAGATCAAATCAAAGGTGCTCTACAAAGGATATCGTCATTATGGTCAAATCAGGTACGCTTTCGCATTTAGTTTATATAACATGTTTTCAGTATGAGATTATAGATATATGTTTGATCATTAGGATGAAGATCATATTCAATTACAGTTTTACTATCAATTGGTATCAGAGCAACCCATACTTAATTCATGTTTGCATTTTGAATTAGATTTAATAAAATAGAGATTTAAGAATTCACGTGGAGAATAATCTCCAAATTTGACGAACCCTAAATTTCGAATTTGGGGTAAATTCCCAAATTCACAAATCCACGGTTCTCATGGTGATTTTGGAGGCCCCTAGTAGTCTTGATGTTTCGAGTCAAACCCGATTTCCACTTCGGATCCCAACTCGAAGCGCGTTTATTTTTCTGACCACTCCCATTATGTTGAACCGGATCCGGGGCACACGGTTGAAGATGTATACGAGCAGGTTTTCGGGGAACCGTGGAATGAATCCTCGGCAACATAGAAACTGTCACCGAGAATGGAAGGATTCGCGCAAAACTCGGTGAAGCAGAAGAAGGGTTCAACGGCGGAGACTGTGATGAACGGGTTTAGGGTTCACTCTGCGACATCGTATGGGTTGACCACTCAGGATACAACGAATCTTCTTGGGGGTTTGCCGCAGAAGACTTTATTTGATTCTTTGGACGTATCATGGTGTGGCTTCAACCGGTACTTTTGGATGGAGGTGAGAGTGAAGATAAAAAGAGGTGGGGCCGGGCCTCGATGCGCACTCCCAATTCTTGATTTCCAATTTTCTTCAAACCCTGGAACCTTCAGACTCACCATTTTGAAATATTCTCTCTCTGGTTGGAAATTGGAAGGTCACGTGGTATAATTGGAAGATCCTGTGGAAACTATTAAAATATGTGGCATTATAGTATAATTTTTTTTTAAGTGGTCTTTAAGACTTAATTTGGTTTAAGATTACCCTTATTAATATATTCAATTTTTTGGTAGTTTAATATTTTTTGTGAGCAAATTGAGTCAAGAAGTTACCAAAGTAACATCTCTTGAATTGGGTAGTTCGTGAAAAATATTGAATGTTAGTGTTTGTGTATATTCATGCGAGTATTAGTCGGCCCAAAGGAAGATTAATATTTGGCCGAATTGCACACACACTTGTAATGATAAACATGTGATAATTATAAGGATTTGCTTTGTCGATGATAAATCAATCCAAAGACTGGTTTGTTGTTGGACGTGCTTTATTGTCAATGTTTGATTATTACAACAAGATACCTCTAGCAGTTAATATTACTGTCCAAAGACTTGATATTGATGGTGCATTGAGTGTCTTGAGATGGGTTAAACCATTATTTGAATATATATTTTATAATTATTTTTTTATATATAATGTGAGCATAATTAGTTTATTTCTTTTGTTCTAATCCAATTACAATTGCTTACGTATCTCGCCAATTTAAATGGTGTTCCGATCCTCAAAAGTATATTTCCTACTTTGGTCCGTTACTGAAGTTAATTTAGCGTCAGTACCTAGTAACACTTGGTGGTTAGACTCGAGTGCAACTACTAACATCGGTGTTTCTATAAAGGGTTGTCTAAGCTACCGGAAGCCAATTGATTCTGAAAGATGGATATATGTTGGAGATGGCAAATCGGTAGAGGTGGAAGCCATAGGGCATTTTAAATTATTATTGAGTACTGGTTTTTATTTGGATTTGAAAGACACTTTTGTTGTGCCGTCATTTAGACGGAATTTGGTTTCAGTTTCTTATCTGGACAAATTAGGTTATTTGTGTTCATTTGGAAACAATAAGTTCAGTTTGTCTTTTAATTCAGATATCATTGGAACTGGTTCACTTTTGCCTTATGATAATCTGTATTTACTTGATACTGTGACCACCTATAATGAAACCCTTAATACAGAATCACGGGGTACTAAACGTAAAATTGATGATACTCACTCAGGAGCATTATGGCACAGGCGCTTAGGTCACATCTCTAAAAATAGAATTGAACGACTTGTGTCAACTGGAATCTTAGAGTCTATTGACTTCACAAACTTTGATGTTTGTGTTGAATGCATTAAGGGCAAACAGACCAAAGCGAAGAGATTAGGTGCATATAGAGCTACAGACGTCTTAGAGTTGATACATACGGACATTTGTGGGCCATTTCCTACACCTTCGTGGAATGGTCAACAATACTTTATATCATTCATAGACGATTACTCACGATATGCATACTTATTCCTTATATATGAAAAGTCACAATCTCTAGACGTGTTCAAAACATTTAAAGCTGAAGTTGAAAATCAACTTAATAAAAGAATTAAGTCTGTCGAGTCTCGATCGTGGTGGTGAGTACTATGGCAGATTTGACGGGTCAGGTGAACGACGTCCGGGACCTTTTGCCAGGTACCTAGAGGAGTGTGGAATTGTCCCACGGTATACCATGCCGGGATCACCTAGCATGAATGGTGTAGCTGAAAGACGAAATCGAACTCTTAAAGATATGGTCGGGAGTATGATTTGTCATTCCACCTTACCGGAGTCACTCGGGGAGAGGCACTAAAGACTGCAGCTTATATTCCGAAGGCAGTACCAACTAAAGCAGCGACCAAAACACCTTATGAGCTTTGGATCGGGCGACAACCTAGTTTGAAGCATTTCCATGTGTGGGGTTGTCCAGCTGAGGCAAGGCCTTATAAGCCAAATGAAAAGAAATTGGACTCCCGAACAGTAAGTAGTTATTTTATTGGTTATGCTGAAAGATCCAGGGGATATAAATTTTATGATCCCACCTTAAAGATAATTTTTGAGACGGGAACTGCTACGTTTTTTGAGGATATTGAGTTTGGGGGGAAGAATAAAATCAGGAACTTTGTCTTGGAGGAAGAATCGGTAACAATTCCAGAACCGATTCAAACAGTTACTTTTGATAAAGTAAGTTCGGAACCTCCACAAGGTATTGTTAATGAACCCCTTACTCAAGATGATTTGGTTGTTCATGAAGAACAAACTCAAGATCCTCAAGAACCTGTGCATCATGAGCCAATAACTTTGCGGAGATCCACTAGAGAAAGAAGAAGTGCTATTTCAGATGATTACATGGTATTTCTTCAGGAACATGAGGAAAACAATGGTATGATGGAAGATGACCCAGTTAACTTCCGTCAAGCCATGCAAGGTTCTAACTCTGAAAAGTGGATTGAAGCAATGAAGGAGGAGTATAAGTCCATGCAAGACAATAAGGTTTGGGAACTTGTCCCATTACCAGAAGGTATGAGACCCATTGGTTGCAAGTGGATATTTAAGACCAAACGGGATTCTAAAGGTAATGTGGAAAGGTATAAGGCTCGTCTGGTAGCTAAGGGCTATACTCAAAAGGAAGGGATTGATTTTAAAGAGACTTTCTCTCCAGTTTCATCGAAAGACTCTTTTAGGACAATCATGGCTCTTGTAGCACATTATGATTTGGAGCTTCATCAAATGGATGTCAAGACGGCGTTTCTTAATGGCAACATTGATGAGACGATTTATATGGTGCAACCAGAAAACTTTGTGCAGGGAGATTCAAAGAGTATGGTTTGCAAACTGACAAAATCCATTTATGGACTAAAACAAGCATCTCGTCAATGGTACTATAAATTTCATCAAGTAATTCTCTCATTTGGCTTCGAGATGAATATTGTTGATGATTGTGTATATCACAAGTTTAAGGGGAGTAAGTATATTTTCCTGATCTTGTATGTTGATGACATTCTACTTGCCACCAATGATATAGGCATATTGCACGAAACCAAGAAATTTTTATCAAAGAATTTCGAAATGAAAGATCTTGGTGATGCGTCCTTTGTATTAGGAATTCAGATACACCGAGATCGATGTCGGGGTATTTTAGGATTATCACAAAGGAGCTATATCGAAAAAATTCTTAAAAGGTTTGGCATGCATGAATGTAAATCCGGGGATACTCCAGTTGCTAAGGGAGACAAGTTTAGTCTCAATCAGTGCCCAAAGGGGAATTTGGAAATTGAGGAAATGCAAAAAATTCCCTATGCATCAGCTGTAGGGAGTTTGATGTATGCCCAAGTATGTACGCGTCCAGACATAACATACATAGTTGGGGTTCTAGGCAAATATTTAAGCAATCCAGGAATGGACCATTGGAAAGCAGCAAAAAGGGTCATGAGATATTTAAAGAGAACAAAAGATTACATGCTCACATACAGGAGGTCAGACCAGTTGGAGATCGCTGGGTTTTCTGACTCGGACTTTGCAGGATGTCAAGATAGTTTGAAATCCACTTCAGGTTACATTTTCATGTTAGCAGGTGGTGCGGTTTCTTGGCGCAGTGTCAAGCAAACCCTTACAGCTTCATCCACTATGGCAGCAGAATTTGTAGCATGCTATGAGGCGTCGAATCATGGAATATGGCTGAGAAATTTTGTCACAGGGCTGCAAATTGTGAAAGGGATTGAAAGACCACTTAAGTTATATTGTGACAACAAATCAGCTGTATTGTATTCCAACAACAACAGAAGTTCGACTAAGTCAAAGCACATCGACATTAAGTTTCTAGTTGTTAAGGAAAGAGTACAAAGTGGACAGATTTCCATAGAACATTTAGGGACAAACTCCATGATAGCAGATCCTCTAACTAAAGGACTTCCGCCCAAGGTCTTTCATGAGCATGTTGCTCACATGGGTGTTTTACAGTTTGAGGAATTTGTGGTTTAATGGGAGTTAGTCATTTTCATATATTTTATGTTCTATGTTTAATTTTATATATGTATACATTGTTTTTTGGACATATTTGGTTATCTATAGATATGCGGTTTTCTTGTTCATTCATTACACTTTGTACATTAAGGTTATTGTATCGATCTCGATAAGTTAAAGTTTGGACCAGTTGAAAATAGACGTGTACGAGATCACCTTCACGTAATTTTTCATGCTACACATTTCATGATGAATCCATGTCATTTGGTTATGTCAGGATGAGTAATCTTGTTGGTTTTAGTTGCGATGATGCAATGAAAAGCTGGTCTGGTTCTATATCCTGATATGATTAATGGACAGGACTTTTGAATATGCTAAAGGAATATAATGACATTTTTGAGCTCATAAAGTCTAACACATTTGTAAGGTTGTAAGGACATATATATTTGTGACCAGTGGGAGATTGTTAGCAAAATTTGGGTCACGTATATATATGATACATATTTAAATGTGTTAGGGTCATTATTTATTAAGCCAAATAATAAAGTGATCTGAATAAATTAAAGTTTTGGCTAAAGGCATATGTCATGAAAATATAATTGTGTAGAGACCATAGAGTAATTTTTAATTTGATGAGGGGCCAAATTGAAAATACTAAAACTTAAGTAATTAACCTAATTTTGGTTATATAAAGGGTCATGGTCCCCTTCTGAGAGCACACAGACAGAATACAGATATAGTCCCGTTCTTTTCTTTCTATCCCCATCAAGAGAGAAAATCCATAGGGAAATACAGGTGCTCTTCAGGTGGAAGACCATAAGATCAAATCAAAGGTGCTCTACAAAGGATATCGTCATTATGGTCAAATCAGGTACGCTTTCGCATTTAGTTTATATAACATGTTTTCAGTATGGGATTATAGATATATGTTTGATCATTAGGATGAAGATCATATTCAATTACAGTTTTACTATCATATTTTTTATATTTAAAATTACGAAGCAATTTGCAGCTAATAGTTATCGAATCAAAGTAAATTCGTATTAAAGTGGATTTGTACAAAAAAAAATTAATATTTTTTACAAGTTGTTGGAAAATATCAAGAAGTATCAACGGGATCAAGTTTAATTAGATTTGTTTGGGTTGCACAATCAATTAAGATCAATTTTATTATTTTTCACTTCACAATAAGTTCATAAGTCTTTTTATTTGAATTTTGTTTATTAGCTATAGCATGTTTGGATTTCAGGAATATGCCTATAATGGTTAATAAAACTTAGAACATCATTAACAAAAATATTTTATAAGAAATTTTTATCAATAAAAATATTATTTAATGCGTATTTGTAAATATATTGATTCTTAAAATTATTTTTTTTATAATTTTTTGTCTTCAATTTAAAATAATTTATATTTGTGTTTCAACTTAAAATAAACCATTTTGGTGTGAAATAGAAAAAAAGTATTGACTTTGTTTTTAGGTAGAAAGATGGAGTGTGTGAAAAAAAAAACTCAATATTTTTTTTTCTTTTCAAAATGACAAGTTGGAAAAACACAAAATTTTAAGGAAATATTATAAGTCATGTCTTTCCACACAAAATTTTAAAGAAAAGCAAAAAAATACTTTCATTAAGATAATACTTTTATTTGTAAGCAAAATTTGTAATTAATTTAAGGTAACATTTTCTCTTTATTTGTCCTTGGATTAACTTTATAATTTAGTTTTGGATTAACTTTATAATTTAGTTTCTAGAGACAAGTTCTGATTATGATCACGTTTTTTTCCCTAACTTTGGTTGTATTGGTGGATTAGCGAAAACATCTTCATGTTCACTTGTTTCAAGATAATCCTACACATAATTACATCATGAAAGTTTTATATATATATATATAGATTATCAACATGTATCCAATTTTCACGTGAGCAGTGAAAGAGAACAGTATGATAAAAAAATGATAGATTAATGTAATAAGAAATGTATTAAGAAAGAATATTATATAATAAAATAAAATAAAATAGAAGAAATTTGTAATGATTTTTTTTTCATTCACTATTTTTTTTTATATAAAGGTGCCAATATAAATTCTGTAATTGATAGAGAATGAAAAGGACAAAAGGGTGAGTCAGAAACAAGTTGATATGATTATCCTTGCTCCTTGGTCACACGTTAAGGACATATTCAAATTCAAGGACAATTTTAAAGAAATATAAAGGTATAAAAAATTAAAGCTCAACTTCGTCTCTATCAAAATTAGAAAATTGCCCACCTATTTTAAAAATTTAACTTATTCATATATAGCTTTAAATAAATCATTTATATTAAACTACTAATTATTTAATTAAAAAAATACAAAATTTAATATTAATGTTTTTATAATCAAATTGATCAAATACTAATTTAGGTTGAGTAGTATCGCAGTAAAATCGAAATAAATCAATATTAATAAAATAATAATAATAATTAAAAAAAAACATAAAATTACATTGTAATGGATATTTTTTTTGTTGACTTAATATAAATCGTTTATCCCTTTAGTCAAATTTTTTATTAATTTTTTCTTCAAGTCATATTTTGTGATTTATTTAAAATGTTTACTTAATTGAACCAAATTAAATTACAGCAATATAATTAAATGTGATATATATATATATATATATATATATATATATATATATATATATATAATCGAAAGTTCAATTAAATATTAATTTAAAACATATTATTATTAAAGTGGAAAATAATATTTCAAAAGCAATAGATAAGATGCGTATATTAAAAAACTTAGAGTAAAAGTTGACATTTTTTTATATATTAATTAGGTATATTGTTGAAGGAACATATCATAGGGAGAACTAGTTGCAAAAAAACCCGAGTAGCTTTTATGTATACTTTTAAAAAATTTCTAACTAAAATATTTTGGGACTGAGTCAAAACGAGATTGCTTGTAGTGTATATGTATACTGTATACACGTAATATAGCCGTAGTGTATTTTTTTTTTTTAATAAGACGTGCTATGTTATTTCTTCCCATAACTTTAAAATTATGATATAAATATAAGTTAATTATAAATTTAAACGCCGACATATCAGCACCCATGCATTGGTTATTATTAAAAGTATAACAATGATGTCTATAACAACCAAAAGTCTGGTTTTGAGAGCTCGATTTTATCATGTATACTTTTATAATATGGTGTTTGTTTTAAAAGTACAATGCAACACCATCATCATGAACTATAGGTAATGACATGTATAGTAATTCATGTTTGAATATGTTTAAAGAATAATCGTCTCCAACCATTTTCAAATTCCAACAAGTTTTATTCTCATATACAATGTCTATTATTAACATTTCCTTTTAAGTTATATACAAATTATTGTAAAAAGTATTATATATAAAGTGTTTTAACATGTAACAGACATGTATCCGTGTTTTTATTAAATACAGGTTTTATTTTTATTATTTATAATTGATGAGAGGGGAAATAAAAATAAAAATAAAAATAAAAAGAACAATAACACGTTGTTGGGTCAAAGAACTGTGACAACTGTAACTGTGTCTAAGTAATGGAAGTTGATGGAAGTGTGTGTAAGAATCCAGCGAGTGTGATGGAATTAGTTAAGACAACGAGGATGGGGATGCCACCGTCACCCAAATCAAATCTCACTCTTTTTTTCTATTTCTCCATCAATTAATCTTAATTTCAATTCTCAATACATCGAAAATTCCACTGATGTTTTCTTTATTCCTTTGCACTGCGTCAATAATTTTTAATGTCGGCCAAAAGTCAAACCCTAACGTTTAACGAAAACTGCATGAGTTGGAGCCAAGACAATGGAGAGAGAAACCAACGAACACAAACCTTAAAAGAAAGTCAAAGGTGTATATCATAAATGCGACGATAAACTCCAATAACAAATTTCTGTGTGCATAGCATGACCTATTAATTTCATTCACCCCACCTTTTCCTATTTATATTTTCAATTAATATTTGATAAACGTATTATGGTTTACACGCAGTGTTATTGTTTTTAAATTTAGTCTTAGTAGTTAAGAAAAATTCTTACAAGTAAATCTGGTTACAAAGAAGTATTGAAAGAATTTGCCTCACCTGGCTTTTAAAAAATATTTTTACTTAGTCGTAATATTTATAATAAAAATTTACAGTATATACCAAATATTTTATAAATAATATTAATCTATTACGAGTAATTAGATATTTTTCCTAAAATAAGCTTCTATTTTATTTATTATAACTTTAAATTAAAAGTGTCATCTTTATCCTTTCAATCTCTCCATTGATCAATATGATTCGTCCTTTCAAAACTATTCAGTGATATCTGTTAAACAACATGCATCTTATTGTTTAGGACTGAAAAATATGTGAAACAAATTTGATCATCTGATTTGATAAATAGCTTTGCATATTATCTTCATGTAAACAAATAACATTGCATCTCAATAAGTACGGTAACATTTATAGCATTAAAAGCTTAATTAATAGAAGCATTCATAACATGAGTTAAAGTAGAATTGACTTTATTGATTTTTACTGGTATAATTAAATCATTTTAAAAAATATGATTAAAAAATGGGAGATGAAACATTAAGTGAAATGGAATGAAAATAAAAGGGTTTTAACCGTCTTAATTGCATTGGAAGGAGAAGAGTATTGTTAAAATGAAAGGGTACTTGGTTGGGTTCAAGTGGTGCAAGAATTGAAGGTTGTTTTGAGGGTAGGAGGAGTTAATTGGAGAAGTCCTTGGTCAGAAGGTGCCACAATTTCCCGTGTTTTGACTTTGCCCAATTTGAACCCTATAAATAACCATCGCTTCCTCTCTCCTCTTATACAACACTTTTCAACCCTTCCTTCTCCCAAATCTAATTCATTCATTCATTCAAAGCGATTCGAGTTATTGAGAAATGGAGGAAATCGACGTGCCTCCGTTCTTCGTGTGCCCTATTTCCCTCGAACTCATGAAAGACCCCGTGACAGTCTCCACCGGAATCACCTACGACCGCCCCAGCATCGAGAAATGGCTCTTCGCCTCAAACAACGACACTTGTCCCGTCACCAAGCAGCCTCTCCTCCCGGACCTCACTCCCAACCACACCCTCCGCCGACTCATCCAAGCCTGGTGCACCGTCAACGCCTCCCACGGCATCCAGCGAATCCCAACGCCAAAGCCCCCCGTCGACAAAACCATCATCCAAAACCTCCTCAGAGACGCTTCCGACTCCCCCAACCTCCAGCTCCAGTGCCTCCGAACCCTCAAATCCATCGCTTCCGAGTCCCAAACCAACAAACGTGCCATCGAATCCGCAGGCGCGGTTAAATTCTTAGCTTCGGTTATAACCAACACCATTGCAATAAACTCGTGTTTAGACGATGACGTGGAGCTGGAGTTAAAAACAAGCGTAGCGGATGAAGCATTGAGCTTATTACATAGCATTCAGTTATCCCAACCGGGTTTGAAGACTCTACTGAGTCACCCCGAGTTTATAAACACGTTAACCAAAGTTCTGCAGAGAGGGATCTACGAGTCACGCGCTTACGCTGTTTTTTTACTCAAGTCCTTGTCAGAAGTGGCGGATCCGGTGCACTTGATTAACCTAAAACCGGAACTGTTCGTTGAACTGGTTCAAGTTTTGAAGGACCAGGTTTCGCAGAAGGGTTCGAAAGCCACGCTTCAGACACTGATTCAGGTGTGTCCGTGGGGCAGGAACAGGGTCAAAGCGGTGGAGGCGGGGGCGGTGCCGGTTATCGTGGACCTTCTTCTCGAATGCAGGGAGCGGAAGCCCTGCGAGATGATGCTGGTTGTGTTGGAGATTCTGTGTCAGAGTGCGGATGGGCGTGCGGGATTGCTGGCGCACGCGGCGGGGTTGGCGATCGTGGCCAAGAAGATTCTCAGAGTGTCCACGATGGCCAACGATAGGGCGGCGAAGATTCTGTTGGCCGTGTGTAGATTCTCGGCGACGCCCAGCGTGGTGCAGGAGATGGTGCAGCTGGGGGTGGTGGCAAAGCTGTGCTTGATGTTGCAGGTGGATAGTGGGAACAAGGCGAAGGAGAAAGCGAGGGAGATCCTCAAACTGCACGCCAAAGTGTGGAGGAACTCGCCCTGCATACCGGGGCACTTGCTTGCTTCGTATCCCACAAGCGCGTGAAAGAAACAAACTCCAAGTTTCTTTTGTTTCAAGGTAATCAATCATCAAACACTCGGTGCATATGTGGTTTCGTCGAACACAGATCCATGGTTTATGATTTGACGTTAGATCAAGTTGTGGCTGATTCATGATCTATGTTCAAGAAAAAAATACTTTTAAATAATTTTTATTTGATGGATCCTAAAGTCCAATCGCGTGATGTAGTCAGCTATTCTTACAAAATTCAAGATCTGCAACGTTGGGAGGAACTAATCCTTTCTGCGAGACCAGTGAAAGAAGTCTGAAATTGAATCACAGTTTTGAGTTTTCCATTCCCTGCTTCGGTCGATTCTTGTTTCTTGTGTTTTTTCTTGTACAGATTTGTTTGGAACAAAGTATAGGTGTGGGCATCAAACGTTGCCGGGAACAAAGTGTGAATTGCATATATTGGAACACTGACACAAACTCATTTCATCCTACTCGTTATTTTTGTGATTCTCTCTTTTACCTCCGTTCACAGTTCTTGATTGTTTACAACATGTTTACAACATAATGACAAGATAAATGTTGTCAAAGTAATAAATTAAATGAGAGAAGAATATTATCGATTAAGCTAGTTTTGAAAAAACAAAATGTAAGTTAAAAAATTTATTACTATCAACTGAACTAATAACTTTTCTTAATCATAATAAATTATTTATGATAAAATGTAATGAATAAGAACTAGAAAAGAATTATCTTATCAAAAGTTGCATAAAAAAATCAAGTAGAGATTTTATAAGCAAGAATATCATTTTAGTCTAAGTTTATATAAACTAAAAAGTCTTATTGATTAAAAAAGATAAAAAGTTTTTATTTGAATAATGAATTTATAATCATGATATGATAGAGGATACTATTACATATACCTTCAATAAAAAATAAAAGTTTACTTTTGATTTAATGTGATTTCCGACCTCTTTCTAATGCGATGGGTGCGACTCCATTACAGATCAGATCATCAACGTGATTCAACAAAAAAATAAACACACCATTACTCTATTTCCCTTTATCTTTTTCCAGGTTTAGATGCAACAACCACTTTTAGAACCAACGCCAAATATTTGAATACCAAAGTATTTGTCAAAGAAGAAAATGTTTTTTGTATTAAAATGCAGAATATATTTATTTATAAAAAATTTACAATTTTAATATACCAACTGATATTAATAAAATTAATGATATAATAATGCATGACGGCAATTAAAGATCTCAATTAGTAATACGTTTCTAACAAGTCGGGGAAAAAAGTTCCCTTTAACAAGTCTTTATGAACAATTAATGATGCCGTTTAACTATTTCTTTTTTCATTCAAGTTTTTTATAAACCAAACGTTATTTTAAGTTTATATTAATAAACTATATTTTTAATAGAGAAGTATTCAAAAACACTTCTATTTTAACTTGTATTCAAGAGAAGATTCAAGTAAATCAGAACACTTACATTTTTTTTCATTACTTAAGTAAATTTTCAATGATAATATAGGTGACTATATATTTGATAATATTAAAAAAATGGTAGAGAGCCAAAAGATTTATTCGAATGATGCGACATACTAGTTGACTCTTCCACAAGTTAATACGTTACTGTTACTTATTTCATACAACAACTATTCTTAAATTTTTGTGAGAAGTCTAACATTTTTTTTAAAGTTTTATATATTAATCACATTTTAGTTTTTGTAATGGAAAGGGACAAGTTTAGATATAATAAGCAATTAAGTAATCTGTATCACCTATTCATTGACCTTAATCCTTTAATATGGTTTCCTTCCCCCCCTTAATTTTGAAGTTAAATGGTACATAAGATTTTGAAAATTTGGTATATATGTGTGAAAATACCTAGTTCTACATCGGAATGTGAAAAAGTACACCCAAGAAGGAAAATTGAACATGTCCAAAAATATGTGAAGATGATGAAATCGTTAAATAGAGAGCACGTATATTTTACTATTATGTTAATGCCCTCCAATGGAGGACAGGTCCAACTTTATGGCTCCAATTAGAAAAATAAAAAGAGGGTAGAATGCTTAAAACCACAAATTGTTCCTTTGATTGAGGGATTTTTTCAATAAGGTTTAAACTTTATGAATTAGTCATTCTTATTTGCTTCAATCACAAATAAACATTTCTCCTCACTTATCTATCAAACTACACTTGTAGAAATTTATTTGTTGAATTTGATCAACTCATGAACACACATCACATCACATGTAAGTGTAATGATGATGTCTTTATGCAATATAGATAGGTTAATTTAAGAACTATAAAGCTAACAAGTAATTATAGAGATTCCTTTTACTAACTATAATGGGAAAGTGTCAATTTTGGAATGATTATAAGTTTATAAGTTTAGATATTCACTCGAGACTAATTCAGCAAAAATTGCAAAGATTTATTCTGCTTGAAACTTTTACCTGATCTTGCCATTGTTGAAAAATTCTTTAATGAATGAAAATTCTTAACTTTTTATTCTTATTTTTCTAATTGCAATATGCAATTATATAACATACCTATGCAATCTCAAGGACCAATTAATCATATAAAGTTAAACTCTTATCTCTTTTCTTTAATTAACAATAATTGTCTCAATTTGGATTAATAATAAATGTTTGGCGTGGTTTCATCTAAGGAATGAAAGTATCCAATGTCGTTAAAATTAATTTTCATGTTTGAATGATTTCTCACTTTAAAATTTTTGTCCATTATGATTTTATTGTTAAAATGTGTATCAGTAAATTAAAAGAATATGATATATATAAATTATTTTAAATTTTAACTCCTAAATGATACGAAATTCATCAATGTATCTATATAAGTTTATTAGTTATATATATATATATATATATATATATATATATATATATATATATATATATATATAGAGAGAGAGAGAGAGAGAGAGAGAGAGAGAGATTTGAAATTAATTAAAAGTTTAATTATATTTTGAGTATCTCACTTTAAGATTAATATGATTTTTATCTCTGGAGTAAAAAGGTTGTCTTTTTTTTTTTTTTTTTTAATTTAGTTCCTCAATTTTAGTGTTTAGAGACAAAATTTACTTTTCAAATATTAAAAACTGAAATAATTTATTTACATTTAAGAAATATGGATATAACGTCGTCACCTTTCTAGTGTATGAATAAAAATAATGGGCCTTTGAGCTAGGGATGGCAAAATGGGCCAGCCCACTCCGTTTTTGCCCGCTCCGTCTTTGGTCCGCCAAAACTGGCGCGGGACGGATAGCTCGATATAGTCATGACGGACTGTAGACCTTAGCCCGCCTCGCCAAGGGGCGGTTGGCAGCCGACTCGCCATAATTTAGAAAAAAATAAATTTTTTTAAAATAGTTTTTTTTAATAAATTTAATAATAAGATTATTATTTGTTTGTCAATAATTCAATATATATATATATATATATATATTATTTCAATTTAATAATATAAATTAATACATTATTTTAAGAAATTATAATTTAGAACAATAATAAAATTTACATAATAATAAATAATAACAAATATATATATATATATAAATAACGTTAAACTTATAAAATTTATATTTTTTATATTGAAAAATTCAAATACCTATATCTTTTTTATTTGATAAAACTTCATATTATTCTTGGTTGAATAATTCTTACACATTTAATTCAAGTAATAAGGATAAAAATAATCAGTGCTTAGGATAAATAAGGAGAACAGGAGAGAAGATTATGTTTCAGGAAGGAAAATATTTTTTGTGAGAATGAAACTTTTTTAATTCTCTTTTAATTTTTAACTTTATATATTATCTTTATAATTAATTTTATTACAATAAAAAAATTATTTTTTTATTAATTAGGCGGGCCACGGCTGGCCCACCCCGCACCGCAGGTTGGTCCGACGGGTTAGTAGGCTTGGCGGGGCGGGCCAAAACGGGTTGGTGAGCTAAAAACACCAACCCGCCCAACCATATTATGGCAGGCTGGCGGACCGGCTCGCCGGGCCTAGACCGTTTTGCCATCCCTACTTTGGGCTATTAAAATTGAAAAATAAAATGACTATTTCCGTTTTCCTTTTCAAAACTTTTAAAGCATGTTATAAAATGTCCGAAACTACTTACGGCCCCAAAATTGTAAGCACTAATGTTGTTGCTTTCTACACCTCATAAATATTTACTTTCACACGTTTTTATTTCGTAATGGGTATTCCAAAACCTAAATATTACATTCTAAAATTCTTATTCCAGAATATTAGAATTGTACGGAATGAAAGAAAAATGGCTTCATTTGGACCTCACAGATTCATCAGAGACCCACACAACACAACCCATTTATGATAATTAAGAAAAAAAATGAAGTTACAGTTTGATTTAAGATTAGATTTTTTTAGATTGAATCCGAAGTAGACCCAAGTCTAACCCTAATTTCTATAGTTTTATTGAACCAAATTCGACAGAAATTTAAGGTTGTTTCACAAATATTGAGAAATGATTACATTTAAAAACAGTTTATTGAAATAGTCTCACTTTAGGGTAATGAACAGATTAGCATTCTCATAAGGAAAATGAATAATATATATATATATATATATATATATATATATATATATATATATATATATATATATAAAAGGATTAAACCCTGAAAGAATGAAAAAGAATAAGATAGACGAGGATTGTTTAAGTAAACATACACTGAAATGTAAAAGTTAAGAATAAATAGTAGTCTTATTATGTATCATGTAAATAAATTTTATACATTATTTTTATCTACTCGAAGTCGATTGTGGGGGCCACTTTATTGGATCATGGGCTTTTCTGGGATCGTGTGTGTTGCACACAGTTTGAGGTCGGTGGACACTCCCGTGAAAATATTCAAACTTTGAATATTTCTTCTCTAACAAAAAAAAAAAAAAATACAAAACTCATAGTGGTTAAGTGCGTGGTTCAAGAATTTCCCCACAAACCATGTTACCACAAAAATATGTCCAATTTGGCCATTTATGTTCATTTAATGTGGAAAGTCAAATTATACACACATGCTTACACCAATGTGAAAGAAAGTGTGTATATATGGACATAATTTTCTGACCTAATTATGGAGAATGAGTGGCCCATTTTCAACTTGGTTAGGCCCAATTAGTTTTTTCATAAATTGGATTTTCAGAGGGTAATTTGAGAGTCACCGCTGCATTAATTATTAATATATTCCCTAGTGCTGACTCTTATACTTGTCAAAGTTGGTGATTCAATTCAACACAACATTATTTAGACCTAAATATTTTTCATGTAAAACAAGGTTGGTCCGCAACCAAGTAGTGAGTCCATGATATATGCTTCAAAATTTAAAGTATGTGTTGTTTTTAAGGTTCCAGTGGTTGGAGGATAATTCTACTTAATGCAGTTCATTAAAACAAAACAAAAACGAATTGGATGATTATTGGTTTATAGAGATTCACTCTTAGATGGATGGTGCATTAATTATGAGTTACGAAAATGTTAAACTTCCTAACACCTTATTTATTATATTTTAGGTATTATTTATTTTAAAGTTCTAATCTATTATTCATAAAAAATGTTTCAATAAATTAAAGGAGAAAAATATATATAAACTATTAACAATCTTATATTGTTAAATAACCTAAGACTCATGTATATCAGTACAGTAACTAAATATCATTAATAATGAAGAAGTTTCTTTGTATTTGTTACTGTTTAATAATGAATGAAATTTTTTCAAAGAATTAGTGTTGATACAGTACTCTTTGAGGCTTTTAACTACAAACTATGAGACAAAATGAATGGTTGGCAAAAATCAACAAATTTTAAGGATGTGAGTTACCAAGACAATGTTTTTATATTATCAATCAATAATTAAAATCAAGTTTATATAAATTTTAATGTAGCTTTTATAAAGATAAATAAACTTATCGTGCTTGTGGTTAAATAATTATATAAAACAATGTTACACTATGAATGAGTAGATAACTTATTTTCTCATCACTATCAAATGTCATCTTATTCACTTAACTTTATAAAAACTCTCTTGAATAAGAGTCTCTAAAAGTTGAAATGCGCAGGATAAATTTAATTTATATATATAGAAAATAGTTTACTTGGGGTTTTATCTTCTTATTTTGTTTTCCTGTATTGAAAAAAAGTTTGTTGAAACTGGGACAGAGTGTCACTCCTGCCATGCAAGTTATGGAACAACCATTGTTTGAAGGAAATAAATTGTTTCTTTGGAGACAAACTGCAACTTCTGAGGATGATGAATTCCCTTTTTCTGACAAACAAAATTGAAAACCAGGGAACTGTACAACCAGACTGACGTATAACATTAAATGTGATCATCAAAGAAGAAAGAGAGTTTATCAGTATATACTAAGACCCTATTAATTTGTGTTTACATTTATAAATTTATTATTTAGTAGTAACAATTCATTCTAAACATAACAAGCAATGCAAAATGAAGAGAATAGGAAAAAGAAGCATCTCAAGGCAAATCAAATGGGCTCCAATTACCTATTAACAAGTCTGCATCATGAACTTCAGGTCCAAGCAATGGTGGTTGTGTGGCTTGAAATGCACGATGGTTTATCATCATCATCTCAGAATTTGACCACATCATATGATGATCATGTGAGCCTTCCACTTCACCCGGCAATGGTGGCAGCTCAAAATTCATAGCACCACCATGATTACTGCATTGCTCAATTCCATCTTTTTGAAGATTCTGCATAGTGTTGAACTCACCATAGCACATTTGGCTGTTATTATTAGCCTCACCAGAGTGTGTGTATGTTTGTTCAGGAAGATTTAGACCAATTTCTTCAGGCAAAGTACTTGGACCAGCAACATCTATGTTTGATAGCCTTGAATTATTCACTAGAGAAGGATCAAAAGCTGTTTGAACTTGATCTGGATTATTTTTGCTCTCAATCCCAGATTCAGAACTGGGCTTTTGGTTGAGGAAATTTGCATACACTAGTGCAAGATCAATATTTGGTCCATCACTCACCACTGAGGAGGAGCTAGAAGCTGCAGAAGTCCTTATTCTAGGATCATAAGAATGCTCAACAGGGTTATTATTATGATCTGTGGCATTTGCACAAAGTGATGATGAACTTTTGAAAGTGAAACCATCAATGGATTGTCTCAACAATGTCTTGTTAGCTCTTCTGTTTTTCCTGCAGCCACCACCAACAGGCACATTTCGGAGAGACCCTCCTTTGGTCCAGTACCTTCTGCACCCTTTGCAAAAGTACCTTGGTTGAGTTAAGCTGTAGTTATTGTAGTAGCAGAACTTGGTGTTGGAAGAACCGCACCTAGGACAATTTGGTGATATCTCAACCTCAGGCTTCCATCCACTATCCATCATCACAAAACCTACACGCTTTTAAACTGCAGTCCAGTTAATTCCTCCCGTTTCTAGAAATTGCGTATGAAATCAGACCACAATTGTGATTGTGTTACGGTCACAAACACAACAAAAACCTTGATATTACAGCTAAAGTTGTACTATGGTCGCAGACACATTCAAAACCTTGATATTACGGTCAAAATCATAATTGCAGACTCTTTTTAAAACCATAAATTGCATTTGTTTCATAAAAAGATATGTATGCACACACACACACACACACTCTGTGTGTGTAACAGATAGGGAGAGAGAGAAATATAGAAATATCTAGAGAAGGTGGCAATGCTAGTTTGCTGAAAGAGGGGTTATATGTGATAGAGGTGAGGTTTGAGTTCCAAAGCACATTGAGTGTTGGGGTGAAGTTTGTTTTGATGCACATGAGATGATGGACATGATGATCTTGGAAATGTGTATGCGCAGCATGCATGCACATGAGGATGCATGGGGTAGGTAGGCTTGGAGGTGTATCACAACCCCGTAGGCTAATAGAAAGTGTCGGTGTTGAGGACACGTGGCGTGATGGGATTGATGGTGATGAGGGTGAGTGGGGAAGCAAAGGCATCGGTAGCACCATTTCAGGTTTCTTTCATCACTCACTTTCAAAGTAGAAACTGGAAACCCACACACTTTCACACACATTCCATTTTTGTATAATCAACAATTTACAACACAAATGCCTCATAAACCATGTTGCATCATGTTAAGGAATTAAGGTTGTGAATATCTTCATGTTTCGATATACACAAAAATTTACAACTACTCACCCACTTCATTTAATCGATTGAGTTATTATATCCTTTACTTCAGATACCTAATATAATTCTAAAAATAGGTTCATATAAGTATAATTTCATCTTTCTGAAAATAGGTCCAAAATGATCTAGCTAGCAAAGGCAAAGTTGGCTATTTTTCAAAACTGAGATGCTACTTATTTTTTATTTTTATTTTTTTTATAGAAAAAGTTATTTGGTCCACAATTTGGAGGTGTAGCTGTCATTTCTGCAAGAAAGAGGCACATGGGAGATAAGTATATCAGCATTTTTTCTGAAGAAAGAATGTCTCTTTCAAGATGGTAATGAATTTATCGTTGACTCTTATTTCTTGGATCATGGGCTTCTCGGATCATGTGATTCTAAGATTTTCATCAATTTTCCCAAAATAATATTTTTATAAATGAAAATGATTTATTTATTTTATAGTGTATTCCTAAAACCTCTGCACGTATATGAATGAGGCTTATGACAATCAATGAACAAGAGCTTTGTAGAACCATTTTCCATGTAAGAATATGAAATTCTCAAATATGATGAAACTTTAGGAAATGATATTTAAATTACCACAAAATATGTTTAATAATAAAATAGAAAAATCACATATTGGCACAAACAGCTAGAAGCTTATATTTTCAAAAGAATTAAACGGACAATCTTTCCCAATAAAGTTTTTCATGTTTACAAAGAGGATTGAATCAAACCTTTATTAATTTTATGGGAGGAAATTATTCTTTCCTTTTCTTTTAAAATTGTTGTTTCTTTGAAGAAAGTTAGTAATTTTTTTAATACTTTCATAAAATATTCATAAGAAATTCCTTTTTTTATTTATTTTTACATTATATATATAAAAACTAATTAAATATTAGGTGAAGGATAAAGATACGAGGGATAGAAGAGTAATTAATATTATTTTAAACTTTAAAAAAAATCGTCAGTTAAATAGAAATGGAGAATATATATCAATACTTATGTGAGGATTTGAAAAAAAAATTCTATTTGTTACTTCCAGCCTTGGGCCTTGGAGGATTAATTCATTCTCAAGCAAGGCAAGAAAAAGTGTGAAGTAAATTTGATTCGAGTAATAGCAACCAAACATATCCCTAATCCAAAATTTGGATATATACCAAACTAATCTCAGAAGGATATTTTTTTTAAGCCGCTTTGCAAATAATGTTTTATTTATAAAGATTTGAGGGATTTTTAGATAGAACATGAAATTTAAAGAGCATTTTATGTCCTAAGATGGAGGATTTCAAGTGCCACTTATGCAAATGAGATTGTAAAATCTCTGACAATAAAGGGCTACAGGAGGAAAAAGATTAGAGAGATGTTAGGTTTTTATTCAGTGAAGATTTTACCTAAATGAATAGACAATTCATATGATTTTTTTTTTTTTAAGTGTTCATATAATCAGTGAGCACATCAAAAGTTATGTTTGGAGCAAGAATGAATGGATCATGATAGATGAGGATAGTAGTTAATCATTTTCTCCTACCTTTGAAATTTGTCTGGTACTTAATTTGTTTAAAATTTATTGATTAATTTTCTATGTATACATGGGTTTCTTAAAAATTTGAATTCCAAAAATAATTATTAATTTACCATTTTGAAATATAAAATTTTAGTTTTAAAGTACATATTCAAATAAAATTACTCCCTCCAAAAAACTAATACAAATTAAATTAATCCTTCTATAAAATAATTAAGAATTAAGAATTGAGCTACGTCTTGAAGCCGAAGTAAAACAATTAAGAACACAAAGTAGCACAGCGAGCAGTGAAACTGTACATTACATACAACATACAGCATGATAATACATCAATGTAAGCTTCTCCCTTATATATAGCTCACCATGAGCCACATTCCAACGACAATATTTGGGAATTCATAATAAATGAATTAAAAACAAATCCATACAAGTACATATTAACAAAATTTCAGTGCCTGAGGCATAAGCATCAGCGCAACTCCTCATTTGGATAATGAATGTACATTTACAGGCATGAATTTGGTAAGTCATGCGCCTACAGTTGGCCCAATCTTTCCTGCATGAGAGCAAGAAACAATTTTAATCCAAAGCTTGAGTGCAGGAAATCAACAATTAACATAATAATTAAACCATTGCAGTTTATGTAAACCGAATTTATAAAAATCTAAGATGTGCCAAATTATTTTATCATTAAACACTAAGAATGCTGGGAAGTGAAAACATTACACTTATACATAACTAACAGACCTTAACCTACCAAATAAATTACACAAAGAATAAACGGGCGGAAAATAATAAATTGGGAAAAACCCAAGTCTCAAATTGACTAGAAATAGTACCAAAAATACGATATATGAGTGAGACCAATCATCAACCTAAAAACAGGATTTGTATTGCTGAATTAGGTTAATGTGACTTTCTACGATAATCAATGTTATTATAAAAGAATACCATTAGCATGACCCCATCCTCTGTCAGTAAACAAAATATCTATGAAATAAATTGTCAAAAGGACAACCTGAAGCATCTGCATTAATTTTGGATGTTGCTCCAAAAGTTGGCAAAGTTTGTCCCGATCTCTCAATAAAGACTGCCATGTCAGAAGAGTAAAATGAAAAGGTTTAAAACAGTACAAATCAAGTTGTATATTTGGTTAAAACAAGAATTATGTATCCTCCAATTAATGCATTACAATTGAAAGTTACCTGAATTGCCTCTGGAGACTTAAAATACTCATGTAATGACATTCCTGCATCTGGTTGCTGCTGTGATTGACCATCCCCTGGCTGTTGAGTATACTCGACTTGTGGCTGCAGCTGCTCATGTGAAAACTGTTGCTGCTGGGCTTGGTAATATGTCTGCATCGAAGGAATCTGAGACTGTTGCAGCATCTGTAATTGATGCACTTGAACATTGCTTTGCACTGCCAGCCCTTGCTCCAACTGCTGTAAACCTTGAACAGGCGGCCTAAGGAGCTGAGGTGGTTGTGGAGGACGTGTAAGCTGGGGTGGCTGCAAGGGCTGCAACTGAGTAACTGAATGCATTGACTGAAAGGAAGCTGGAGGAAGAGAGACATTTTGTAAGATGCTTGGCTGATTGTCAGCCTGTTGCTGATTTGGCGTGTTTCCAAACATAGTCAATGGCATGGAAGCTGGCCTGCTAAACCCCATGGGGGGTGTTGGGTATGATGACAATCTTGCTCCTGAGGATGCAATGGAGGCCTGGGAAAGTTCGGTGGTCCCCATACTTGTCTGATTATATATAGAAGGTTGGGAGGTAGAAGTTTTAACAGATGGTAAATTATACTGACTAGATGCAAAAGGAGGTGGTGTCGGAGGAAGGGGAGGAGCAACTCTATTAGGTCCACCAGGGGAGGACACAGATGACCTGGAGTATTTTGAATCTGGCATGGGAACAGAAGATGCTAATGCTGCTGCTGTTGAAACATTGATGAAAGGAGATGGATAGTCCGATTGAACCTACACGGAAAAATTATAAACATGGTAGTCACTTGTCCAGGAGAAAAATGAAGGCAAGGGAAAAAGAAGATTCATATGAATGTAGCAGTAAACAAAAAAGGAGGAAAAGTTTCTCACTTGGAATGCCACTGGACGCTGTGTGCCTGCTTGAGAATTGACAAATGAAGATGACTGACTAGGAACTGAATCTAATGCGTGAGACATTATAGGTGAGATGGTTGGTGGTGGTGGCATGGGTGGTAAAGGAGGTTGGTTGGGCAAAAATCTTTGGTCATAGAGTCCTTGAGAACCAGTAACAATACCACCATGTTGAGGACTGTTCTTTAACAAGTAATTTTGGGAAACCATCCGTGAATCAGCTGGGAATTGCATAGCCGTGGATGGGTTATTGTAAAGGGACATAGGAAATGAAGTATTTGATGCTGCAGAATCATATCTACCAGAGGGCTTAACTTGAACATTTTTCAAGTCATCAACCTGCTCAACATACTTCCTGTCCGAAGAAACACTTGATTCCCGAGTTAATGACACATCAGGCCGTGAACCAGACATCTTTGAAGAAAATTCACTTTGGGCATTTTCATCGATGTTAGATCGTAATGGAGTACCCATTTGTGAAAATTGACTACTATCAACAACATCACTTTCTGTCTCTTCAACAATTGAGTGAGGAGAACTTTGCTCAACAATAACTGGGGCAGGCTGCTGTAAGTTATCATCCAGATGAGGGAATAGCAACTTGTCATCAGGGTCAGACTCCTCTCCATCAAACACTATATCAATTCCTTGAAGATCATCATCAAGATCTGTTTTCAATTGCTTAGATTTGTTTGACTTCTCCGCATCTGCAGGTTTCACAGGAGAAGCATTTTTTAGGTGTCCCACAGCCTCTCCCACGACTGTTGCTGAAGGGTTCTGCCGTTCCCTCTGTCTTGCCATAAATTCATCTACATGAATGGATGGAGGTCTCCCACCAGTAGATCCTGCCCGAGGAACAGATATTACATTAGTAACCCCTTCAACATTTCTCTCTCTTGCAACATAATCATCCACATGCATAGACGGTGGTCTGCTAGTATTTGGCTTGCGCTGTCGGAAGGCATCCCTCCGTGTAGGACCAGAGGAAACAGTAGACTGTGCTGCACCCCGTGAAAAAGCATTATGAGAAGAGATATCACCCTGAAAACTTTCTCCTCTAGCTCGCCTAGTGACTGAACCATCCATTGATGGAAGCTTCCTCTTGGCAGCCAGATTTGTCTGCGTTAATCTATCTGGTAATATTTCTGGACATTCCCAAAGAAATTTGTCCCCAAGTCCTCCAATATAAAGATGATCATCAATCTTTTCAACGCTGTTTTCAAGCAACTGATGTGTATTAAAAACTAGAGCTTCATATTGAGGTAAAACAGCATCCTCAAACTTCAAGGAACCAGCAGGTCTTTCCAATACTAACGACAATGACTTAACAGACTCGGAAACCTTACATCACAAATGAGCAGGAGAAGTTAAGTACTACAGGTAAAAACTACCGAAGACTGCATTCAAAAGGATATATATACCTGATATAATGGGATTTGTGAGTAAAAGGTAACCAAACAGTCATCCATAGCAGCTTTGGAACTTAACAGGGCACTAAATTCTAGTATGTAATTTATATTTTCCTCAGGAAAGCCAACTGATCTTGTCATATCATCAGAGATACCAAAGAGGTACTTCAACGCGACAACTCTGTCAGAATCCAAACTAAACAACAAAAGAAATTGTAAATTATTCTGCTATAAGATAAAAGAATTACAGGAGGAAAAGGTATGCAGAAATTTTCATATACATCACACCCTCTTAAATGCTAAGAAACTTGGGATAGCAAGAATTCAGATATCAATTTGATGTAATATTTAATCCTTTTGTTCCCACTTCTTTACATATGTGATATAGGTATATAATCCTTTTAGAATATTTTACTAAATAGTGAAATAAAAAATAAATAGGTATAACAACATATTTAATTACATATTAAGTTAAAATAAGCACATTAGTATTTATATATATTGATAAAGGAATTGTTTCATAATATGTGCTTCCAAGTTATACATAAATAATAATAAAAGTCATACAGCACAAAAAATGTATGCTAATGATCAATGATAATAATAAACTGGTTTAATGTAAAATAAGATAATAGCAACATTATTTTATTCAATTAAATAATAATTATGCTGATAAAAAAATATTTTTATTCTTATGCTTAATAATTTTGTAGTTTTATTAACTAAAATAATAAATAGTATTAGTTATTGTATTATGATATATAAATATGTGTGATATTATAATAATAATAATAATAATAATAATAATAATACAATATTCAATTAATCATTTTGCTTGAATGACACACTTCTTTTTTATATATAATATTATCCCATTAGTTTTAAGGGTAATGATATGTTGACAACTCAATCTACACTCAGTTGTCAAACAATAACAATCATTTTCGAGGAATCATCACCACAACATCAAGGAAGCCGAAAACAAGGCCAATGTTTTAATAACTCCAACTTCTCCATTCTAGAAACAACTACATGGGGATCTGAGTACACACGAGTTGGAATAAATGATTTTTTTCAATTCACATTATCATAAGCACATCAGAAGCAGTAATCCAGATAAAAAATATGGAAATTTACCTGTCTTCGTTTATGCAAAACAGTATGGACCCAACACATAATGCATAGACAGCCTCAATTGCATAAGTTGACAAACCCTCCTTTGTCTCGTCAATAGATCTCAACAACTTCATCCAACAGCTAAGTAAAGGGGGGCATTTTCTCCATTCAGCTACACTAGAGACACTATAATTTACATTCCTTTCACCTTTAAGAGGCTCAAGCTCGTAAGCATGAGAGTGGATTTCCAAATTAGTAGCTACAAATGCAATTCGACCTTCACCACAAGAAGCTAATTCTTTGAAAGCTGTAAGACAAGCCAGTAACTCTTTTCCGACAGGCAGGACCTTGAAACAACAGAATTCTTAGTTAACATTGGGTGAGCAAGAAAAACTATACAACTATACAGTTACTTGTAAGACAATTGATTTATGTACCACTTTACCCAAGGACAAATAAAGGCAGATCATTTGTCAGCAAAAAAAATTTAAATAGATCTATAAGTACATACAGACAGTATCAGAAAGTCACCTGACAACTCCTCAAAATATTTCGTAAAATCAGGGCACAATCTTCATTACTCAATTTTTCAAAATTTTTACTGCCAGAAACCAGAAAATTAATCACTTAGCTGTAAAACTTGAATAAAAACATAATATTTACAAGAATATAAACTGCTCACAAGTCATGTCTTCTGGGGTAATACTGAGAAGTTTCAGAATGAAAAAGGAGTGTGATAAACTTGAATATTGGGAGACACCAACTAAAAATATTAAAGGTGCATTTTGCAGAACTTTTATCAGGAGTCTGCTTTCCATTAACATCAATAATAACAAAACATCTATCCAGTAGTTTTGTTAGCATTTGAAGAGAACCTTCCCTCAACAATAGGACCTGACAGAGAGAAAGTGTACCAGTTTTATGTAAATTACTGCTATGAACAATAATTAATGAAATGACATTGGTAACTATAATCATATCGAAAGTAACAGACAAGAGCAAGTGAAAAAGTATATAAATTTAGATGTATTTCACCTTTCCAAGTGGATGCTCCAACAGGCTTACAAGAAAATCAAGAAGCCTCCAAACCTTAAATAAAAAAAAAAAAAACTCATCAAAATGTCAAACTATAACAAATTTTAAGGCAGTCAGGAATCTTACCTTGTATGCATCAGTATCTGATGGCAATGATGATTCTGAAACATGATGAATAATTGACGACAATACTGGTTTTATAAGCATGGATGCATATTTCGGATTTTGGCAAGAGATTCGAATTACAAAAACACGCAGCAGATCTTGAATGACCCCTAGTGCCTGCCAAAAAATCATGCAAGCTCCACAATTAATGCCTACTCCATATTACAAATTTGAAAGTTCATTATTTAGGAAGAAACTACATACAGAAATTGCATAATGTTGTATAATCTCAGCAATTTTGTCAAGATGTGGTGCGAGTTGGCCAACCAGTTTCTCTAGGTGTCCAGATTCCAAATACCAGTTAACATGTCTCTCCTTCTGAGGCCCTAATATGGTTCCAATAGCCAACATTCTTCGCGCAGTTAACAAGGGCATTCCACTAGTCCAAAGCCATATATCTTCCTCAGGAAATAAATCACTCTTGAAATAGAAAACAAGACCAGAGGAGATGATCATACAAACGGTCAAATAATCTTATTATACACAGACTAAAAATAAAAACATAATTTTAAGAATGGAAGAGCACCAAGAAATGTATAATATTTGAAGAAATAATACCAACAACACAACTTAACAAAGTAAAACTTCACATGGAATAGACATACCAAAAGATAGAGTAAACTGCAAGTTTCTTTTGGACCTAGAGTCAACAGTGAAGAACTCTGAACGCTGGCAAGAAGGGTGTTAAAAAGACCTGGAGTCCATCCATGCACTGGCCAGAAAGCAAGTGCTGATGCAATAAGATGACAGACAGCTCCATAACCAATAGCATAATCAGGATATGGAGATGATAAGTCAGCTGCGCATGCAGCTAGCTTGGGGCTGCAATGCCAGGATTTGAACAGTGTAAAGAAGTAAGATTCTCTAACCAGATACAAAGAAAAAGGAATTAAGAGATACCTTATTTCCCTGTGTAATCGTAAAAGAGCATTCATTAATTTTGTGTTTCGGTGTTGCTCCTTTGCTTCCTGAAATGCAACCAAATCAATCCTAGTGTATTTTTTTTGAACTTGTGTTGCACAAGGTACTGTATCTCCAATAGATGAATCTCAATTTTTTTATGGAAATTAGAGCCAGAGAAAGTATAAAAGCAGAAAACATATAATAATAATATAAATTAGATATATTGCTCGCAAACCAAATCATCACATTCACACAAGACTAAAAGGAATAGCCAGAAAAGGAACTTATACAGAAGATATCACATATAATATAAGTCCTAAGAACAATCCTCAAATAGCATCATACGTGCTCATTAGCTAAGAATAACCATAAGAAAATGTTAAAAAAGTAAATTATTTGGAACAATGCTACCCATTGATAACAAAAAAGAAAATTTAGTAATTAATACAATCTGAAGTTAAAATCTACATGCCTCCATGCCATACCCTTCAATCAATAGCACCTCCATGCCACACCCTTTCCCATCAGTCACTCTTCTCTAAAGAACAGGGCAATCTCCCAATTCCTGAATCATGTTCCAACCCTTCCTGTTCTTGCTCCTCCTTTCACTATTTTCAACTTTCCTAGCACCTTCTAAGTTGTTTCCATCATGTTCCTCTTCTCCTTACATGTTGAAGTTGACCCTTCAAGTAGATCTTGATTTTTTTTCACAATAAACCTTATGGAGAAACAATTTCCCAACTAGAACAAATGTCCCAATATTTACACAAATAGACCCTTTTACTGGATGCAAAGAAAATTCGATCCCGGAACCAAAATTGGTTCTTAAATCAGCGCCTGGGAAACCAAATTCAGGTGCACATTTTGGATCAATCTCCATGAATGATTGAAAGTAGAGTTACTAGCTGTGCAATATTGGTTTCAAACAAATCTGGTGTCACTCAAAGGAACCGAATTTGTTTTAATTTAAGTATTTAAAAATTTTAAAACATTATTAAAAAATATATTATTTAAAATTTTTAAATAACATTAAAAAGATTTTAAAATTATTAAATAATTAATTAATATTAATAGAATGAAATTTACATACTTAAACTTTTATATCTTGTTAATTCATATAGTATTATTAATATTTTATAGTTAATTAATATTTATATATTAATATTTAATAATAAAAATAATGAAGACTTAAACGATAAAAGTTAAGATTTTTATGATTTTTGGTTTTAGAGTTATTTGAAATAAGAAATTATATTAAAAATAATTATTAAATACATTAATAAAGTTAATTATATATTTATTAAATATTTGAAATTAACTAAAATAATGCCTCGTTGTCATTAACATTAATAATTTAAATAAATTTCATACATTTTAAAAATTACATTAGTAATTTAATACATGGTTTAAAAAATAATTTAAATAAAGCAATTTAGTAATTTAATTGATCATTTAAATATTTTATAAAGTAAAACAAATTCAGTTCCATTAGCATTGTATAGTTTGTGGCAGAACGTGAAACACTAACCAAAGAGCAGAGAAAGCATATGCATCATGAAAAATGACAATAAGGCTGGCGCTAAATTTGTTTGAAACCCAGTGTCATAGTGAGGAGGTAGCATTCTGCTTTTAATCACCCATTCTTCAAGACAGAATTCAATATAGACTGGAGCAAGATGCCTGAAATCGAATTCCAGTGATGTCGCTAATTTAAGAACCAATGTCGATCTACTGGACCTAATGCCCATCATATAGGGCACCAGGTTTAGTTGGGAATTTTTTTGTAAAAAGATTTATTAAAAAAAAAAAAAAAAAAAAAAAAAACTGTAGATCTTCCAATTTCTTCATCCTCAGTTCTTTAAGTTGAAGCTCTATCACACCTTCTTGTCAATCATCTCTCTATTATTTCATCCAAGCTTCAATGTCTCTCTTTGTGAACTCTAACATAGTCTCTAATTACGTATTTCAATGTAATTGAAAATGTTAGGTTTTTGTAGTAATATAGCCTAATAGACATTTGAGCACGCACACAAAAATCTTGCTATCATGTTTTCTGTGCCTCATAGCATTTGTAACAAACTTCTCATGAGTAACAGAACTCCCATACAAAGTAAACAATACATCATTAAAAAAAAATCAATGTCAACCAAAGAGACCCAATCACATATGTATGTTTAAAATTGAGTTAGGCTAGTCCATTATTATTATGGTATCTATTCTATACCCAATCTGAACATTGGCCCACACATATATGTCAAGGCCGAGGCATGAGAAAAGAGCTAAGATGTCCTACATAATCTAGGAATAAGGCCAAAATACACAAAAAGACTTGTGTATTCCTCCCTGCAGCTAGCTCTAAAAGTTATGTTATGCTCGACCTTTTTCTATTAGGGACCTCAAATTAAATTTCACAGAAAATTCAATTGAAGATTCAATCAAAAAGCAAAATAACTGAACAATGGATACTCCAAATAACTGAACAATGGATACTCCTTCCATTAATTGGTTTCCATAGTTATCTATCACATCAGATAGCAGTGATATGGACCAGAATAGGAAGGGGCAGAGATCCTTTCCTCAATAATATTCTCGTATAATAGACATCATATCATGCTGTAAACTGATCAAACTTTTTAATATTTATTTTTTGGTTTAGATCTGTGTTCACATTTCAAATGTACATTGTTCAAAATTTCCAATATAATAATCAACACATAAAAACACCAATCAAAATTTCCAATCTAATAATCAACACATAAACACACCTGTAATTTTTGTAGCAATGTAATAAGTAGCACCAGCGAAGGAACCAAAAGATCAACTATGTTCAGCTCACGATTACGTTCCAGTAGTAAATCTGAAGTAGTATTGCATTCTGTACCCTCATCTACAAGGTAGTCTGTTTAAAAGATATGGAGCATTAAATTTTTGCAAAATTTAACAGAAAATGGATAGTATTAACCGAGAAAAAATTGCATAACAATAAAAATCAGGGTAAAGAATCTAAAACAATAAAAGACAAAATGGGATACTAAAAGCAGGAAGGATTCCCATCTCCCTGCATGTCAAAAGTGAACAAGACCTCTTGAACACTCATGGGAAAATTAGCAACTATTTAACAGCAAGATGTTTTCCCTTGAACACAGTGTCAAGAGAACTTGGCCACTTTTTACCGAAACCTTTTGAACAATCAAGGGGAATTGTTCCAAACAAGTAGCATTGTTCATTGGGAACACCAAATAGATTGTTGAAAGTCCCACATCGCCTACCTCATGTCATTTGGTATGGTTTAAATACATGTTAGGCTACTCCACATATTGCCAATTGGTTTTATGTTGGAACCTTAACATGGTATCAGAGTCAAAGCCTAACATCTTTCCGATTATTGTCATGGGTCAAAAGTTGCCCTTTAGTTGGATCAAAAGTACCATTTGCCTGGTCCGGCAGGCTTCGTTGGAGGGGACGTGTTGAAAGTTCCACATCGCCTACCTCATGTCATTTGGTATGGTTTAAATACATGTTAAACTACTCCACATATTGCCAATTGGTTTTATGTTGAGTAGCCTAACATGTATTTAAACCATACCAAATGACATGAGGTAGACAATGTGGGACTTTCAACACGCCCCCTCCAACGAAGCCTGCTGGACCAGGCAAAGGATACTTTTGATCCAACTAAAGGGCAACTTTTGATTATACAACAAAGGATAGTAACCACGTTGCAGAACAGTATTTAGCAACTGAAAATCATAATCACACTTGTAAATAACACGTGTTAGGAAAGACATGTTTGCAATGAGCCTATGGATTTGAGTGAATTAAGTATCCATTCAACGGAATAGATCTTCTAAGGAGCACGAGATTTTTTAATTATTTTATCATGGAGGAACATTACTGCTTGTGCCTCAACAACAAAATAAAGTGTAGAAGTTTACACGTGAAGGAATTAAGAATAAGGTATACACAAGGGCTGAAAAGGGGGGCATTGAGGTTAGAAAGAATTTTATGGGGAACAGAGCCAAGACTGTCTATTGTAGAAGGCGAAACCATAAACAAAACAAAGCCATTTCCGTAACATGTCTTCTCCATCCAAGTAACATTGTGCATTTAGTTGCAAGAGATACAATAATTTATTAGAGAATAATATACACTGGGAATAATCTAATTATGTGAAATTAGTAGCCTACAACTAACCAAATACCAGTAGTAAACAAAATTAACAATTAAATTTATGATTATGAAAAAATTAAGATTATATAACATGGTTGCCAAACAGCTATTTTCTTGAAGACTGTTCATAACATAACTCACTAATCAGATGTGTAATGCGTTTAAAATATTATAAATTTGTGATAAACATACCATAATTGTTAGAGGACCTCTCAAGCATGAATCTGCAGTTGACCAAAATGGCATAAATAACTATTACAGCACCTTCATCATAGAGAGTCGCAGCAACAGTCTGCATTAGTTAGAACTGTCATAAGAAAGGACAAATGACTATAAATGAAATTATTCAAATTAAATAATTACATACTGGATTCTCAGAAATAAAAGATAAAATCCTTAATGCTGTTGTCAGCTGTGCCAGAGAAGAATCACGAAGAATGACACCATCAAAAGACTTTTCAGATATAAACTTTCCAAGATTCTCCATAACATTAATATCAGAGCCACTAGAAGACTCTCCAACAACATTTTCAACATCTGTGAGATCTGAAACTAGGATGCTAGTTGATGTTAACTGTGCATCTCCTCCAGAAGCCAAAACAGCAGCATAACGAAGGAGACCAATTCCCCCATGTTTGTGGTATACTACGCCAGCATCTATCCATTCCAACAACCGTGATGGAGCATCTTTGCGGTTGGACCCCGGAGACGAGAAATGCAAAGCCCTATGAAGTTCCAAGGCATGTCCAATCCATGAACCCAAAGATGAAGATGTGGAATCTGTAACAATGGCTTCAATGATCTCAGCAGCTGAGTGAAATATTGTAAGATTTACTGCTGAAGATCCTGGATACAGTAGTGTTAAAACGAGCAGTAGTTTAGACAACTAAAGAAGAAATCATGTCAATAATACCATGTTTGTGTATAGGAAAGAGATAGAGTGACTTGAGTACCACTGTTTTTCCCAACAGATTCAGATTCCTTGATGGAACTTAGTGCTTCAATTAAGATGGTAACAGCCTACAGAAAAGGAAATAATCATACTATTATTAGAGCCACAAAATAAGCAATATACTACATACAAAAATGTCTAATACCACAACTAAAAACTCCATCCACAGAATCTGTAAGCCAAATTGTCTTCATAACATTTACAGCTAATTTTTGTAACTGCATATTGGCACCGAATTTATGGACAAAATAACACATTAAGCTAAGATAAATGACATTTCAACATACTTTAGGAGGCATTTGGAAGTGCTTCAACAAATATTATATGGGTTTCTACCTTTATAAGCTCTTTTTAACTTAAATAAGCATCTTGATGAAGCTTCAAAACAAGCTATTTCTAACTTACTTCTTTAATTGGTTTTAAGGTCAAATATATGAGAATATCTCTAGTGTGAGAAGAGCTTATTAAGTGCTTAATAAAGTTGCTCACTCAAACTCCCCCCACAGACATTGAAGAGTAGCAGAATCTCTGGTAAAATACAAAAAAAGGGAGAGAGAACAAATATTCACTCCTTACATATATTATATGAGTACATTACTTCTGAAATAATAATCCAACAATCCAGTGCGTAACCAACAGACCAGACAAATAGAATAATATAGCATAAGCTTCCTGATGCAGTATTATTATAGCTCATTATTTATGTGCATACCTCAGGAAAATTTCCCAAAGCTAACAATGCCTGGCGCCCACAATCAGTTCTACAAATCATCCACAGGTTTAACTTTAAACTTTGTTCAGAATATTTAAGATTCAATTTAATAAGAATAAGGCAACTGGTACCGTGAAAGCGTAGAGAGTTCCCAGACAACCCATAAGAACTCTTCCGATTGCGGATTCACCGAAAGTAAACTGTCAGTGGCACTAGCCTAAGACGAGAATGGAAATTATCTCAATTCTATACAAGCCAGAAGCAAAATTAAAATTCAAGAAAAAAAAAACAGCAGGAACAAAGGAAACAGTGGGGGTGAAGACATTATATTTTTGTTGCTCAACTAACCATTTTTAAATGCATCTCAATTATCATTCCTATCTCCAGTGGACTACAAAAGAAACCCTTTGAAATCAAAATGGAAGCATATCGAAGAGGAATACAATTTTCCTTGTTGCCTCGATGACCACCCCTAAGAGCTTGGATTAATGTACTAGAGAGTTCAGGATCCTGCAAGAGAAATATCAAGCCTACAATGGTAGAAAGTGAATCAAATCACTGGATACCTCTCTTCTTTCTAATAATTGATGAAAACAATGTGAGTAGGTTATCTGTAGCCAACCTGAACGACTAAAAAGAAATGATAGAATCACAGCCTCAATAGATGATGTGACATCCATGAATATTTCCATGACCTGGCCCCTCTCCACACGCAGTATAGATGATGATAACAACGCAGTTGATAATGAAAGAAAACCCCTTTCCTGAAAAAATAAATCAGCCCCTGGCTATCAAATTCCAACACCATTTTTGTTTATTGATATACAGACAAGAATGCCGATTTCACTTAATGCAGACACATGAACTTTAAGTTTAAAAAGCTCCATCTCAAACCAGAGCAGGCAAAAAAAAAAAAAAAAACTTGTCCTGACAAAATGGAATACCTTCAAAAGCCCCAATAAATGTGAATCAATATCACAATCCGAAAAGCAACAACTTGAAGAGCTAATCAAGCTGGAAGTTGTTTTATATGACAACAATCCATCTGTTTGACCAATAATCAATGATCTGCTTGCACAAGCTATGGGAGAAGGATCTTCAATTGGACCACGTGAATTTATCAATTTCTGCATAGGTAATTGTCAACAAACATTAACAATAATCTTTTTTACAGTTAAAATGGCAAATAACAAGTCAGAAGTTAAAAGAAAATAAACTAAGTAGCGGGGGGATATAAAATAAAATTCTCATTTTTAATACTACTAAAGCTATAATTGATCAAATTAAAACTTACCAGGAGCTTTCTGAGCAAAATTTCAGCTGAGCTGAGCATACTCAGTGTGACATCTGTAACCCTGCCAACAGTACTGATGTTTTCTAGCACAGAAAGAACTGCTGACTGGCAAGAATTAAATTATTACAAGATAAAAATGGAGTTCGGAAATGCAAAGAAACATTTATTTCAAGCACAACCATTGATAGTAATACCTCATATCTTGAAGCAATTTCATAAAATCGTAGGCGATGAAGCAAATAGGTTGCAAGAGAAGCAATATCGTGACGAGGTTTTGACAATATCAACTTCACCAAATGGCTGTAACCTTCACTGATACCTGAGGGAATACTTTTATCATCCCGAGGCCACCAACCTAAAAAAGCTTCACATCCAACTGAATACCTAGTAGCCCGCTCTATAACACCAAGAAGCAGTAGCATAATAGTAGTAGAGTTTTGCCCATCCTTGGAAAAAAACACTGCAAGCTGCTCCATTCCCCCATTACTAACAAACTGAAAGCCACTCTCTCTACCAGAACATAGCAAATAAGCCATGCTCAAACCTAACAGGACATGCTCCATCTGCAGTTAAGCAAGCAGACACATAAGCCAGGGGGGAAAGAAAAACAGAAAACACAACACAAGGAAATAAGTAATAAAGGGGCTAATGCAATCTGATTCTAACTTTCTCAACTAATAGGAGACGCTGGTAGAAGATTTGACAAGAAAACAATATATTACCTGAGAAAGGCAGTGATCTCCTATACATGAAGAGTGTCTTGGGAGATGAAAGTACTGGTTAAACATATCCACCAACGTTTCAGAATCCAACATTTCAGCATTCATTTCAAGATAATTTCCTTCTGATGAACACTCAGAAGATTCAATCCTATTTTTTTTATGAAGGACCTTATAAACCTCAAGAAGCTCTTTTCTTGCCTCATTAACAGCACTCTGCAACTCTTCCAAATTCTCAGATCTCTTCGACATCTGATATCTCCCACTGATTGATTCACATATGTCACTAGAAATGTAAGAAGAAATTGCAGACACTACAGTATTTACAATTTTATGTCCAGCATCCCCAAGCTCTGAAAACTCCAAAATTTTTAGCATCAACTGTAGAAAAAGATTGACTTCAAGAGAAATATATGTTGCAGGAACTGGAATAGACAACACACTCAGAGAAGATCGTGAATCATAAATTGTGAAATTAGTAGAACGTAATGCAGGTGGCAGGTCTTCAAGCTTCCCCTCAGTAGAATCAACAAGATCAGTCAACGCATTGTCATCAATATCAATGTTAAACTGACCCAGATCCTCTGCTGTGTTGCCATATATAACCAAACTCAGACTTCGATAGCTGCCCCTTACAACTAAATGACTAGTAACAACAGCCTGAGAAAGAGAACACAGTAAACACCAACAACAGTATAAATCATTCAATAGAAAAATAGTTATAGACTGTTTGCAAAAACCTTTTTTAAAATAATCATTTACTTAATCTCCCTTGGAAAATTAGCAAAAGAGAAAATTATTCTTCCAGAATAAACTAACAGAACACAACCTTGGGCAATTAAGTGACAAATAAGGACGACAGTGCATCCACCAAAAAATCATTAGCAAATTAGTGAAATAAAATTAATAATATACATTACTCTTATATAAATATATATGATGAACAAACAGGAAAATACCTACTCAAAATTCAACAATATTCTTTTCACTAGTATTAATCACCAAACAAATTATTATATTAGAGAAACTCATGTCAAAAGATCTTTTAAGCACTAATATTTTACTTAACTATTCTTTGATCAAAAGAAAATAACTAATTAGAAGTTTGTCGTACACATTATTTTTCACATGCTACAAAAAAAAATTGAAAACTAAAGAACTACACAATTAATATTAGTAGATCAAACAGAAATAAGACAACATTGATACATCTTTGAACAAATTCAACAGAAATAGCAGCACCATAAATATTCAAACAGTTGGGAATCAAGACACTTAATAATAGACAGATTTGAAAATTAGAAAATTGTCTAAAATTTCATAAATACCTCTACTTCTAGTACATTTGATGAAGATTGTGAATAGAGAAAGGGCTGACAAAGTCTTCTAAACCTCGTCTCTCCTTCACAATGAACAAAAACCTCTATTGCAAATGATGGAGGTGAAGTCGCCCTGAAAAGGTCACCAGCAATGAACTAAATAATTATAACAACTTCAAAAAGTCATCCAAAATCATACATGCAAAATAATCCCAAGCCTGAGTGCATCAAGTAAACAATTTAATTCAGCACTTATTTAAGCTTATCACACGAGTGCTTATGTCATTCGCTTAACCATGAAGCTTCCAGAAATAAACTAAAAAAAATACTTATTTTGATGACTTTCACCAATCACCATGAAACCTATAATATTGCAATAAGATTAAAAAAAACATATAACAAGGTCATAAGCCATTTTCATAAGAACAAATAAGTGGATGCTTGGAAACCAATCCAACGTAATTTTCACATTAATGGGAAAGCAAGTACAAATAGCTTCAAAAATTCATGGATCATACACATGAAAAGTGTTGGACACAACAAAACATAATATAAACTTCCAACCAAAATCATAACTGCAAAATAATCCTAAGGACGAGATAAACATGAGTAACACCAAGCCAGAGTGCATCTAGTAAACAACTTAATTCATCACTTATTTAGCTTGTCACACATTTGCTTATATCATTAGCTTAACTGTGAACAGACATAAATAATTTAAAAATTATGTTGATTCTTTCACCAATCACCATAAGACCTATTGTAATAAGATTAAAAAACTTATAAGAAAGTCATAAGCCATTTTCATAAGCACAAATAAGTCGGAGCTTGGAAGCCAATCCCACGTAATTTTCACAATTAATGTGAAAGCTAGTACAAATAGCTTGAAAAGTCACGTATCATACCTACAAAAATGGGTTAGACACACAACTAAACATATTATAAACTTCATATAAACTCTTCCAACCAAACCCCAAGCATCTAAGTGTTCTTCTACATTCCATTACACAATGTGGTCATCTAAAACAAGCACGTACAACCGCAAACTACATCTTATTTTGAAATAACACAGCAATCCTACTATCAACACCAAGCGAGCAAGTATCCCCACCATTCAGTCCAAACCTTCTATCATTTCAAACCGAATTCAAAAACCCAACACAAAAAATGTAAAAAAAATAAAAATAAATAACATACCCAACAAGTGACACTGCTTGAGCAACTGATGACGCACTCTGTTCCAAAAACTCACACGCGGTGATAACAATAGGCTCTGAGAAAATCACCTGCAAGAAACTACTCTCAGTTACTAAACCCAACCAAGAACAATAACACCAACTCAGTGCCCCACTAAAACACATGCCAAACTTCGTCGTGCTAATAACACATAACTACGGTGAGGAAGAGTAGCAAGTAGCCAACACCAACCACGCTAAAGCTTATCCAAAACAGCTTATTAAAATTTTCCACTAAGCAATGCGATTGAAAGAAGGAGTCTTGAAAGATGGAGAAAAGCGGAGAATGACGTTACCTCGTCGACGTACTCGTCGAGATGGGGATGAACGAAGGTTTGGGAGAAGAGAACGCATGGCTCGGGTCGACCCATGTGAAAACTGAGATCAAGAAAACAATAACATAAAAATTAAAATTCTAGGGTTTATGTTAGTGCCTCTCTCCAGAGTGGAACGATGCAGATTTGGTTTTGGTTTTATGGGTTCCGCGCTCGTCGCCGACCTCTGTAAAGAGAGAGAGTGGTGCTTAACTAGAGAGGGAAAGGGAATTCTGAGTTTTTATATTATATATATATATATATATATATATATATATATATATATATATATATATATATATATATATATATATATATATATATATATATATATTGTTTTTTTACAATTTTGGTTTAACTCGAAATAATAGTTTTTTTTATATAGCAACCATCTTAAATCTTAAATCATCTCTTTTATTTATTTATATATATATATATATATATATATATATATATATATATATTAAATCATCTCTTTTTTTTATAAGAATATTTTTAGAAGAATTAAAATTTACTAATTCCGAAAAATTGAAATACCTGAAATAATTATATGTGAAAAAGTAAGTGATTTACTCATTAATTTTTTTAATTTCACTTATAATTCTTAAATAAATATAATTACATTATAAACAAAAGAATATAATATTATTAAAAATATTAGATAACACTAAAACAAATATAATTTCTCTTTTCATAATAACTTAACCTTTCCTCATTTTTTTCAACACTTAACAGAGCTAACTTGATGTAATATATTTCAACATAATATAATTATAATTTTTATCAAATATTTTATATAAAAAAATATTTTCTTAATTTTAATTATTAACTTTATTTATGAAAAAATATCGAGTAAGTTTCTCTGGTGCACTCTAATATAGTTTTTCGCACTATTTTTTTATTTTTTTCAATGTATAAATTGAAATTTTAAGACACGCATAAATGAGTTTGGAATAAGAAGAAAGAAAAAGTCATGTTAAAACTTGGTTGAAGAAACCTCATTCTAACTTGGTTTGAAGCTAAAGTTGTTATACCAGTTTTCAACCAAGGAAAAATCATGACGCAAGCATCAGTCTTAGGACCAGGTTGGGGCAAATAACCTGGATACTTTTTAATACATTTTTAAACTTGCAATAATTATGTAATTAAAAATATTTTTAAATTACTATACATATAATATGAAAAAAAAATGACTCACTCGCTAAGTTCCATATTATAACATATACCCGAAAAATTGTGTTTGTTTTTATTTTGCTTTAAGTATTATAATATAAATTCATTATATTTATAAAATATATTATAAATTCACCCCTGCTTCTTAATGGAGTTGTTCTTGTTTCAAATAGGGTTATGTAAGAACGTAATCAATGATTGAGAATTGGTCTAACTCTACTGAATTACACCTCCATTTAATCCTTCCTCAATTTTTATTTTTAAATTTGTTCATCTACAAATAAAATAATGACAATTTTTTTTAGTGACAATTGATGGTTTTATATACTTTTTCTTAACAATTATAATAAAATTTATATTAAGTTTACATATAATTTAGTCAAATTACTTTTGACTTGAGTTTAACCTACCAATTTTCAATTTTATAACGTTTACTTTTTATACAAAAAAAAAATGATCGCTTGTTAGATATTCCAAATTTTAATATGAAATAAATAAGCTAAACCTGGACAAACTTGAACTTCTAATTTAGAAAAGGAAACCTGTTTAAACAGAATCTTGTTTGGCTCAACCTATGGCTACCTCCTTCCTATGTCAATTATCACCATTTCCCTTTTAACCAAAGAAATCAGATATTGCACATAAATATTCTCAGATAAATACTTCTATCAAAATCGCCAACATTTATGCTTAATTATATTATCTAATGAATGCCAGGACTCGAAAAGAGTATGCTTCAGCCCTGGAATAATAAATTATCTGATGACTTGACTGTGCAGTAACTCAACAGCAGCGGCAACCACACTCTTTCCTTCAGAAGAAACGTCAAATGCAGGATCTTCAATTTTTCTGTTCAGAAGCTTGTCAAGTTCCCCACGTAATTTCTGCATTATTCCATTTACCAATAGAGATTGTTATGATCAAGTACGGCTAAAAATAGGACTAGACTCCTCTAAACTGAGGAGTGCACTTCAGAGGATAAAATCCAATATAACCTTAGTTAGAAAATCAATAGTTGAAATTGAATTAACCTTAGATTCGATTACATATACATTGGTTTTTGTTACAATTAACAATTGTGAGATCACTTAATTGTGAGATGACTTCTTCAAGTTATTAAAAGCCAAAACATCAGAGATATGCTAGGAAAAGTCAGAGAGAACATTACCCTTATTAACTCGATAACACTTTTTGAAGCAGAGAAATGAAGGTAACCTCCAAGCATGTCAATGCCCTCACCACTTTTGTTAGGGACTAGATTACCACCAAATAGAAGTAGGGCATAATCTGAAATATTGGTAGAGTCTCTAATGTAGATGCTGGTTGTTTTCACCTTTTCACTGTACACAATGTAGGGCAGAGGAAAGAGATGAACCCCAGCATTAACAGAAGCAGGATGGATGTCAACCTTCCCTACTTCTTTAGTGTAGAATGCTGTCCTTTTTCCTCTTCTTTTGCACTGCACAACATTAGGATAGAGCCCGGCACAAAGAATTGCACAAACCATCTCCAAATCATGACTGTACTGGTTGTAAGCCTGCAAAGACATAATTATTCTTGGTAACCCCTCTTCTAATACTTGTTCAGAAGTTAGCCATACATTCAGAAGAGAGGGAAACTAAACTGGGGAAACAAGAGTATAAGTATTTCAGTAGAAGAGAAAAGCAATAGAGACTAGGGGCTTACATTAGCACCCCTGAACTTGTCAACAAATCCAATGTCAGATAATAAATTGAGAAACTGCATCCTCATATCATCAATCAACCGCAAGGTTACAGGGGATAGGAAATTATCCCAACAAAACTGTTTTTCATAACCTCTTCGCTTTGCCTCCTTCCATCCTTCAAAAGCTTTGAGAAGGGCTATGTGATCACTGAATCAAAAATATATTTATATTATAATTGAGCACTGAGAAGACCAATGCAGTAAAAATTGACTAAACATCATCTGAAAGAAACAATTTCCTGTACACTATGAAGGACTTACCTGCATGAATCACCAGCAAAAGATTGTTTTGCTGCATCAGCTTCCTCTTTTCTGTTTATGGGTAAGACAAACGGGTTGCGGTAAGCAAGAGCAGCAGCAATAGTTAAGGCAGGATTAAGGCACTGAAATATAGAACCCATGAGAAGCATCTTTCCTATATTTGGGTCCAAAGGTATGTTACTAAGATGCTGACCTGTAAGTATCAAATTAGCTAATCCTCAGATAATATCCAAAATCTAGACTCAATAGCTTAAGGAGACAAACATATTCAGTATAATATACCAAGTGGAGTGAGCTCCTCATGTTCATCTAATGCCCCAATTGTTTTAAGAAGTTCAATAGCATTCTTAACAGCTAAAGGATCTGGTGGTTGAAGGGCCTTTTCTAAAAATGATCCCACAGTTCCAAGCTGCAAACTTTTAATATGAAGACACAACTCTTGCAAAGGTGTTCGGAGGATTTCAGCTAACTGGTACTGACTCATAGCATCATGGATCAGTTTTGGATACAGCCTATAACAAACTCCAGGTTGCACTCGACCAGCACGACCTCGTCTCTGGACAAGTCTATGAATTAGTAAAAGCAAAACATTTCATGTTTTTCTGTCTTTTATCTTCAGAAATGAGGAAGGGAGGGGAGCTGGGAGATTAGAGTCAAATACAATGTTTAACAACTAAGGGGATTTTGGCATTGAAAGCTCAGCCCCTGAAGAGTCACATGTTCAATGAGAGCAATAAACATGTTGTGAAAAATATATTGAACAACATCAAAACCTGATGAGCTGAAGCCTTTGAAATCCATGATGGCAACAAGCAGGCAAGCTTATTTAGAGCATCATAGCTGGTCTCCTTTGCTTTGCCACAGTCTATTACATATACAACGTCATCTATGGTGATGCTACTCTCAGCAATATTTGTTGCTAGAACAATCTTTCTACAAAAGCAAAATAACAATCAAAACCTAGATGCAAAAATGATGAGAAAATCAAATATATAAGACAGAAAAATACCCCATATCTTAACAGATAATCTGATGTATATTATAGCAAAAATTCAATTGACAGTTTCAATACAGGAAAGCCCAAAATAAAGCAAAAAAAAAAGACCATTATAAGAAGTTAGGCTTTCCAAGAGTTTAGATAATGCCGGGCCCCTAAAATGGATTCAGCCACTGGCTTCAATTAATAAATAGTTATTCAATAGGTACCCAATTTCCCCAGTTATTTCAAATAAATGACCTTTTCACAACATTTTTTCCTGGAAAAATCTTCCTCTAGCATTTAACATGTTTCATAATATCATACATCAGCTGTTAAAATCTGCAAATTAACACTAATGCACAATAATATTCAGTTTCACATATATTATTAATAATAATATTCTGAAAATTACAGCATTTCTCCGAAATAATATATGTGAAAGACAAGTTAAATTTCGGCCAAGTAAAACCAAGTAAACTAGATCAACCAGTCTGCATTTACCAGATCCCCCATACAGGTCCAATCTGTAGGTTGATTTCTGGCCCAATCTTTATCCCATTTATCTATATAGAGCCTTTTAATTTTCTAGTGATGAACTTGTCCATGCGTATTTTTAAAATAGAGAACCTTATATGATGAAATTGCCAAAAGAAAATGCTTGCCTCTTGTTTGGAGGAGGACGATCAAATATTTCACATTGGTTGACAGTAGGCATTGAGCCATGTAAAGGAAGGATTAAAAACTTGTGAGGATCTCCAAGCAAGTTATTTCCTTTAAGTTTGTCATGTAGCTTAGAGATTTCGTCCCAGCCGGTGAGAAATACAAGAATTGCTCCGCTACCTTCATTCCGACATATATATTCAATTACTGCCTCTACCTGAAACATCATAGTAATAAAATGACAAAGGCACACTTTAAAAAGGATTTGTGTCAATGACAGTAGTTAATAGCTGTTAATATATCTGAAGTTAGTCCTTCTAAGCTACTACAACACAATTGTTGAAGTAATTATACATAAGATGAACTCGTTATATAAATAAAAATGAATTATACAACACAATTCCCAAACACCCCCGTGGTTTCATCAGACTTTTACACTATCTGCAGCAAAAAATTCAAACATTTGATGCATCTTGATCAGATAGCTTCACACAGTGACTAAGACTAATAGAGAAAGATGAAAGATTTACCCAATAGCTGATAAATTAAATTCATAAAATACAGATTGATCTGACAAAATAAAGTGCATACACGTACCAAACCCAAATCCATCTGCAAACCTGACCAAGCTTCAAGAGATTTTCTAACACCCAAGCTGTAACTTTTGTAATTAGAATCTATATCAATATCCTGAAAGAACAAAGATGTGTGAGCATTTTATGTACATTTATTCATACAGTGTCCAACAGGAAGAGCTTAAACAATTAGTAACAGAAGCATGCAACACGTAAGGAGAAACTCTCAATAAACAAATAACTAATACATAGAAAATACTAGAAAATATTTAATTTGCTAGGAAGGTTATACCACTAAATTCTAGACAAATGTTCATCAAGCTTAGGTTTCTTTTCTTTTTGGTAAAAATATATTAGAATGGTGAGAGATGCAATCCATAGAAACAGGACATTGTATTTAACTGTCTACAGCCCTCAAAGAAGTACACCCCACAAATCAAGAAAATAATCCAACTCATTGGGATGTTCCTAACTTCCTTTCAACAACAATTAGGAACAACTTTCATCCTACCGTTTTCCAAGAAAAATTCTAGAAAATAAAAGCAAATCTTTTGACATTGAAACCATATTGATTCTGTAACTACCATAATGAGGCAAAGTATAAATATAATTCAACACAATTGACATCACTACAAAATACAGGAGTCTACTTCCCAAGAAACAAAAACATCGGCAAATAAAACAACAGTCTTAAATTCCACAAGTATGTAGAAAATAAAGATGATACTTCAACTTCAAAGCATCTTATGCATCATCAAGATTGTAAATACATGGATTGATAGTTCAAATATACATGCCTCAAACATTTCAGTCAAGGGATCCTTCTTCGAATCCTGTTGTTTCCTTCTCCTCTTTGAGTTCCCCTCATAATTGTCAAAATCTGACTTAATGCTGTATCGGGTTTTCTCCAACACATCTTCTAAGAAGTACTCTTCCACAGGGTAAGTAAGTCCCTGGTACATATGTCCAAATAAAATAGAAAAAAGGAAGATGTGCATCGAAATAAAAAGTTTAACTTCATAATATGAAATATAAAATAATGCATACCGGTATGTGTTTTGTTGGAGCATTTGCAAAGTATTTAGAGAACAAATCAGCATTAATAGTGGCACTCATCAAAATGAGACGCAAATCTGGACGTCGTGGAAGAAGGTCACGTAAAATTATAATTAAGAAGTCTTCATTCATGCCTCTTTCATGAATTTCATCCACCAGCAAATGACTAACACCTTTCAAGTCTGGGTCTTGCACCTATTTAACAACAAATACAGTAAAAACAAGTCAAGACCACTAGTTGCTGGGAAGAATATGAGAACATCCCATGACACAGCTGCAAATTTCTCAACAGTGTCCTCTTTCTAATCAAAGATAGAAAAATGAGTTAAAGACCAATATTGATCACCAAACTATTCTAGGCTTTACTTACATAATGGATTTTATTTTATGTTCTATACAAGCACAACTCCACAATTAGCAAGCAAAAACTGTTCCAAAAACTTGAACTACTAGGTGAAGGCTCAAGATTAGCTTTATAAATATATATTTAACTACTTACATTAGCGTTTAGGACTAAAAGATCACAAACTAACCTTATGTTGAAATTCATTTTTCTTTTATTTGGAACAATGGTGACAACAAGAAATAAATTTCTGACCATTATACATTGTAATCACCAACTGCCGCAAAAGTCAGAAGCTTACACTATCAGAAGGTGGATTATAAAAATGGTTGTATATTTTACTGTGCGTGACATGCAACCTCCCCCCTTTTCCTCCACTTTGTCAAAGGAAAAAAAAAAATACCATAGGGAACATCAAAACCTCAGGCAAATACCAGTTAGAGGCAATATAAGAAAGACCTTTACATAAACAAGTTTGGACAGGAACTGGAATAAAAAAATAGAATACTTTCAGCGTTAGATGAATCACATATTACCAACTGCCGAAGTAAAACACCAGTGGTGCAGAAAAGAAGGCGTGTGTCTGAAGAACGTTTTGATTCAAGACGGATTTGATATCCAATTGTTTCTCCAATACTCTCACCTCTTTCAGAAGATATTCGTGCCGCAACAGAAATTGCAGATACTCGTCGAGGCTGAGTGCAAATTATGTTGCAATCAGCTCCACGTAAACATGATATTTCTTCTTCCAAAATGAATTGTGGCAACTGTGTTGTTTTACCACAACCTGTCTCTCCTGAAACTACTAATACCTGTGCAAACACAAGCCAAATTTTATGTTGTTGCCAAGGCAAAGGTATAACTATAACCAACCATGACTTCAACCGATGATAATTTAGGAACAGTCATAAACAGAGTAGGAAAAGAAGTCCAAACAGACAACGCATCATTCATAATTTACTCCACCCATAGATCTGGCATTGAAGTTTTTCCTTTCTTGTTTCCATAAAGATCTATAGGTATTATTTCTTACAGACTTACAATGAATCAAGTCAATAAATTATGATAAATGAACCATTTTTTTCATTGCCAACCTGATTTTCTTGAGCTGCTTTTAGAAACTCAGACTTCATTTTAAATGCAGGAAGCTTCTCCCTAAATGATTTCATTTCCTTCAAGCTATCACTTGCCTGCACAATGATAATATCCAATCCAGATATAAGTTTAAAATAGAACATAAAGCAATCAAGAAATTGGCACAATTGATGCAATATTGCAAACAGACAGATTATGATCAAACTACTGCCAAATGCTATCTACCTGTACAATTTCCTGCCTTTCCTTGAGCGCAACACTAAGTTTCTCCTTAGAAGAATCAGTCAGTTGTGAAGAAACAGATTTTATAGTGGTTACAGATTGTTTATGTGCAAGGTCAGCTGACACAGAAGGCAAACTAGACTGTGCTTCCCCCATTGAATGTGAGCTATTCAAAATATTTCCTACTTTCCTCTCAATGTCAGTGGACATTCTAATCTGCAGAAAACTTAACATAGTTAGCACAGTTCTACATGCAGCAATAAATAAGTAGAAATAAAATAGGTATACTCCACCTCCTTCTGTGTTGATCCATGACGCTCATCAAGATCTGCACGATAATCAGGCAATGGAACTTTGCTAACAACAAGAATCTTCCCCTTACTATAATCATGGCTTTCTTTGCCCAAGTACGAAGCAAACCATTAAGATGTTAGTTAAACTAGAAAAATCAGATTAAACTCAACAAATTCACAAGTACCAATTATATATATGTTCAATATATAGCATATTCTATGATGCTTCATTTACTTATTATTGTTATTATTTAGTTTCTACATTTTATTATATTAATTCTATCTAACTGAGCTGCAAAGTGTTTGAATGAAGTCAAAGCCGTGGGGAAGAAAGGGACTAGGATGAACTTCACTTGGGTTCGGTTTCTGTTTATATATTTATATATTATTATATGTTATACATTTTATCTCTTTTATATAATATTTCTAATATATAATTATGAATTAATATTTTTAAATGTTCTTAAATATTAGAGTATCCTATAGTCTAATAATAACATAATATATGATTGATAAAAAAGTAAAATCATTTCCAATGTAGGCCTAAGACCCACTGACCCTGAAAACTCAATATGTTTCTCCCATCCCATCAGCCATCACCTTCCTCTCCATTCTTTCAGAAAAATAGAACACACAAGAAAAGAAGCTGCAGGTACTCTCAACAGGCTAAGACTTAGTAGACGTTTGTACAAGTTGCCAACCCCTATAATGACACTGGTTTCAGGGTATTTTTACATTCAATGGCCCAAACACTAGAGTGACCACAAAACCCACTTTTGGTCATAATTTTCTGCAATATCAGTTGTGAATGGTGGCAAGAAAGCTGCTACAGAAAACTTCTATGCCAAGACATTCTCGAGAACAGGGGTGGCTGCTCCACCACCCCATGATAGTGCACAACTGACAACTATGACAAGTACAATGTGCACCACAGTTTCGGAGGGAAAATCAAGCCAATAGTTTATATTCACATATAATACATTTACAAAAGAGTTAGTGGCGCTATATCCTTTAGTGGACTTCTTGATCCCTGCGTCAAATCCCAACCAGGACACTGTTACATGCAGTTTGGCCTACCATAAACATCTGCTATTTTCCACACACGATCATTTCACTTATCTTAAAATGTGTTGCTTCATTTCTACAGCTGAAAATCTATACAATAAATCTGCAAGTTGTTAAACTAAATATCTATGATTCATATTATCTCTGCCCGGTGACCTACTTTAATGATACACAGCCTTGTTCACTTCATAAGAAATTAGTTTGACTTGTGAATTTCACACAATGTGCAGTATGGTTTGGTAACCTAATCCTAAAATAGACCCCAAAGTTGAACGCCCCTTATTCACACAACAGAGTTAATGTAACATCAAAGCAAACTACAACCAAACACCAAAGTGAAATCAAACATTAGCTGGAGAAATGGAAACTGTTTGAAGAAATAAGCTAAATACTTTAATTCATGTGATATTAGAATAAAAAATAAAACAACATTAGGACAAACAAATTTGGCACATGATGAAGAGTTCATTTCACAAAGAAAACAAGGAATCACAACCAACTACAAAAACCTTTTCCCGCAAGGAACGTATAGAAATAACAATCAACCAGAGTACCAAACACAGTTTGTTTTACATATGCCTGCATGCCATCATAATCCCAATCAGCCAATAATTCTCTCATTAGTAATAATACATGAACACATAGTATACTCATCATATACACCTAGTTGACACTCTTCATTTCTTCTATCTCTCTGCCAGCCCTTATCAATCACCTATTATATTTTTTTCTCTCTTCTATCTCTCTCTAGGTGTATAACATGATTTAGGTGTCCTTGTTCGTGCACATTTTTCATTTCTTATCAGCAAAGGTACCTCCTCAGTCATGGTAAAACGTCACAAATACAAAATTGAAATCATAGTCCCAATTAACTATCAGGTTAAATGATGAAGCAATTATAAGTATTTAGTAAACATACAAGTAGAGTTCATGCTGGTAGGCCATATCAGCTAGGGTTTTCTGATCTGCAATACTAAAGTTACGCTTAATCACCATCTCTTGCTCCCCTCCTCGTTTCATCTTCACTATCTTATCCCGCCATTCATTCTCATCTAACACTTCCTTCTGCAAAAAACAAAATTAAAAATATTCCAAAAAAAAAATCAAAATATTAACCAAAGGACTATAAAACTTGCAGTGCACATTATCAAACAGACACACACAAAACAAAACAAAAAAAGACTTAAATACTACTAATAATAATTATAATAAAACTTCATACAGTGACAAAACTACATAACAGGATTAGGGTTTAGGTGAAAGGATGTCGTAGAATACGGACGTCAAACTTGAAACTTACTTTTAATCCAAAAGCGATAGCACCTGAAGAACTTTATCTAACTTCTTTTTTTTTTCCACTATAGAAACTACTACAACTAATAATAATAAACTTCGCACATTGACAACATTTAAAATTATTTATTTGCTTAAACTTTGAATAGAATTCACCTCAGCTTGTTGTTGTCTGAGGCGCTCGGCGCGCCAGACGGGGTCCCACCACCTTTGCTCGCCGCGACCACCACGTCCTCCACCACCTCCACGGCGGCCGCCTCCACGACCAGCGGATGAGGAGGCGCCCCTGCGGCCGCCGCCTTGGTAGTTGGGGCGGTAGGCCATGATGGAAGAGGAGAGCGGAAGGTTGGAAGGTAAAGGTTGCGATGCGAGCGGGTGCAGGAAACCGAGGCGAGGATGGGCGTTGTAGAAAGTAAGGCGGAAAAGGTACCGAGGCATTTATAGGAGAGACAGTGGAGAGTGTAACATTGGCCTAAGCGTGATTTTGGAAACACTTTGGCAGACTTTTTTACTGATTTTATAATATTATAATATATATATATATATATATATATATATATACACACACACACACGTAACAGAATATCTAATCAATTTATTATTGTTGCACATTTTTTGGGTTTCACTTGAAATTCGGAATTAAATTCTAACTTTAAATTTATTATTTTTTTTAATAAAAAATTAAATAAAATATATAATTAAAAATAATAAAATTAATATTAAAATAAAATTTTATTTTTAAAATTTAAATAATATTTATATATAAAAATAATATATTATTTAAATATATATTAAATTATCTAAATATATTTAAATAATTATTAAAAATATTAAATAATAATTTTTTATTATATTTATATATATATATATATATATTTATTTATTTATTTATTTTTTAATAGAAAAATTAAAGTTTATATATTTTTTAATTATATGAATTATTTAAGTTATAATTTTAGAAAAAATTGATAAATTTAATATATAAAATATTAAAAGTAAAATTAAAAATAAGTTATTAGTAGCAAAATAAAAATTATAGAATATGATATTAAAGAAAAATAAAATTATTGAAATAGAAATAATTGAAAAATGATTAATTATAAAAGACATACATAGAAATTAAAATGACTTAAATGAAAATGAATTAAAAGAACTATATTGAAATTAATTTACAATATTTCTAATTTGGTAGATCTTTTTCTTCTTTTGTTGTCAATGTAACTATTGTCTCTAATATTTCTTTTAAGTTCTTCAAGGGTTATTGCATAACGCATATCAATAGTTTCAATAAATAATTCAATATTTTTCCATGTTTGGTCACGTTGCACGTTTCTATGTATTGTTTTATACTTTTTTCATCTTCTAATCATTTGTTGCACATCAGAATCAGTTTTGATTTCTATGGAGTCGTGAAATAGTTTATTGTTGATAACTTGGATTGAACGTCGATAATTAATCTTTGTTATTTGTTTACGGTCTCCATAATCCAATATTTCACTAATTCTTTGAAAAAATTGGTTGAAATACCAATTATGTTCAACTACCATTGTCCTTGGATAAAAGCTTGTGTAAATAAGTCAAAAATCGTATGGAGATTCCTTGATGGTAGACGTTGGAGAGGTCCACCGAAATAAAGTATGGTTTTTGTAGAAGTAATGGGTTGATTGTTTAATGAAGAGGTTGTGGGAGGTGGGTTTAGAAGCATGATAATTTGTTCAGGTGTTCTGACCAATATGCCATTAAGTTCAATTACTGTATCTATAGAAAATTGAGACTTCCAAGCAAGCATCTGCGCTACATGAACATCAATTAATATAGGAATGATATCATATGTTAATAAATTCCCACCGTTCAGATTTGGTTTACAATAATACAGCTTTCTGAATGTTATCTCATGAGGAAGAGCTAGAACAGTACATATTTTTTGTTTCAGCTCCATGAAGGTACACTGGTATGGGATTCGAAATAAATTAGGTGATGGACCATGGAAGCTTACACCTTGTTTGTTGTGTACAATTTCACCATTTGCAAAGACAACAACTAGGTAAGAATTTGTGAAATGTTGACTATTGGTGATGTCAAACCTCTTCCATCTGAAGATTTTTTAGAGAATGATAATGAGAATTTTTATATTTCGTAGTTGTAGTGCATTTGTTGAAAGATGTAATGTATGTTATTTATAGACAAATGATAGGAAAGGTGAATAAAAAATGTGGATGGTGGGGATTTAGGTTATGTAATTGAACAATTGAGATTCATTATTCGTTTCCCTAAGCATTGTTAATGTGTCACAGTCTTTATCAGAATGATGATAAAAGTGGTCAAAAAGTTTTGCATGAATAAAGACTAAGCAATATTAATGTGTTATAGTTTGTATCAGAGTGATGATAAAAATGGTGAAAAAGCTAGGTTGATGATTGTGACTAAACATTATTGATGTGTCACAGTCTTTATTAAAGTGATAAGAAAATTTATCAAAAAGTTCTGTTGGTGATTGTGACTAAATAGTATTGATGTGTCACAGTCTATATTAGAATGATAAAGAGTAAGCATTCATGTTGATTAGATTAATTTAAGGTTTAGAGTTGACATGAAAGACGTTAAATAAAACTTCATTAATAACATTGTTCTAAACATCATATATAAAACAAAATAATTTCTAAACAACATAAATTAACTACGTGAAGTAGAAGCACGAGTAATGTTGGGACATGTTTTCTTGGTATGACTAGGGGTATGACAATATGAACAATTTTTTACACAACCATGTTGTTCTATAATGTCCATCTTTGTTCTTATTCAGCTTAACTTAGGTCGACCCTTTGAAGTTCTTTTCAATTCTGGGTTTGGGCACAAAGTTGGGTCTGTATAAGTTGACCAATAGTCTTCATGTCTGAGTTCTCCAAATTGTTGCTCATACACCTTAGAAACTTGTTGTAATGTATACACTGGAGCGATGTACATGTTAAAGTCATGGTGTGCGTGTTTGCATGTTGCAAGTACATGCGAGCATGACATATGAACTTTTTGAAACTTCCCACAATCACGTCATAACTCATCTAATCTAACTATAAATCTCCCTGTTGGTCGAACTTCTCACGGATGTTCAGTCTCCTCCACTACAAATCTTGTGCTTGATCTATCGAAATTGATAAATCTATGGGTGTTTGCCTTTGAGTGTGCATCTTGCAATATTTTTGAAGCAACTTCGGAGTATATATGACCAGTTGTGATCATGGCATCTACCTCCCTACCTCTTTCTGTAGAGAATTTGTTGCAACGGGTGTATGTTGCCATCACCATGGAGCATATTGGGAGGTTTCTTATTTTCTTTAGGACTGAATTAATTGATTCTGTTAAGTTTGTTGTCATGTGTCCCCACCTTCTTCCGTTGTCCCATGCAAATATCCATTTATCTCTTGGAATCTCATCCAACCATTGTGTTGCTTCCAAGTTATTATCTCTTACTATGTTATAATAGTAAAAGAATCTAGGTCCAGTCATGTCATATGCTACAAAATTTTTTAAAGTGAAATTAATATAAGTAACTAACAAAATATAAAAAAATATTAATAAGAAAATAAGCATTAATGATATTAAAAACTTCAGAAAAATAAAGAGTTACCCATATTGACCACATCCTTCTTGAGAGCAGTTGTTTTGAAACATCGCATAAAATTTTGTGTAATATGCCTAATGCAATATACATGCATAGAATTGTTTTCTGCCTAACCACTTCCATGTCTGCAATATGCACTTCTTATGAACTCGTGACGATCTGAAATGAGACACAACTCTTCTTATGGAGTTACGTATAGGTTTCTTAAAAAGAAGAATCATGCATCACTAGTTTCACCTTCTACAATAGCAAAGACAATTGGAATTATGTTGTTGCGTCCGTCTTATGCAACTACCACCAATAAGGTCCCTTTATACTTTCCATATAAAAATGTTCCATCAACTTGAACAATAGGTTTGCAGTGACGAAAACCATCAATACATGGTTTGAATGACCAAAATAACCTCTTAAAGAAAACATAATTGTTGTCCACCACTTCACATTGGTACGTAGGTTGTGTACTCATTTTCCAAATAAAGCTCGGAACATACAATTCCATTGCTTGCAATAGAGTAGGTAACTTATGATATGAATCCTCCCAGTTGCCATAAATGTTTTCGATGGCAATTTGTTTGGCCAACCATCCCTTTCGGTAGCTGATGGTATAACCTATAGTTGATTTCATGTGTCCTATGATGATGGAGATAGGTGTTGAATGATCAGTCTCAACAATGTCACGGATTGTTTGGGAAATCATTCGTGATCCCAACTTGCTATGATCCTGTGAAATGAGAGGTGCAAGACATGTGTGTTGCCCTTCCAACTTCATTATTTTCTAATATTGGTCTTTGGTGCGCAATATTGTTCGACATCTCCATTCACAATCGGTATGAACACATTGCACGACAAACCTAACCGGACTTGATAGTTGAACCTTGTAAGTACAATGGTTTATTATATGAAATCGGTTGATAGCATCTTGCACTTGTTCTTTTGTGGCGAAACGTTGACCAACGAATAGTGTTCCGGGTGGATAAACTATTGTTTCCCGATCTAGGACATGGTCAAACTCTAAATCATCTATTTGTATATGAGTTGGGAAGTTGAAAAAATGTTGTGGTGGGTTGTATGGTATGTTTGGTTGTGATGGAGGAATATTTGAAGGTGGATGCACTTGTACATCTTCTTCATCATCTGGAATTTGGCTAAGGATTTCGTCTTCATCTTCACTAAAAGGATAAAAAACTTCTGTTGGAAGACCTATAATAGCATTTTCTTCTATGGGCGGTTGTTGGTTTTGTTGTGATTCTAATTCATTTTGATTTGTCAAAGGATAACTTAAAAGTTGGGTGAACGATTGAGTGTCATTTTCCCAATTGAAATCATCTGTTGTTATATGTGGGTTTATCATGTCATGCATAGGGTACTGTGAGGGTGAAAGTTATGGTTGTGAGGCTTGGATAAATGACAAAGTACATGCATCGAATGTAACATATAATTCAATACTTGATTGAAATACATTTGAATCATGTATGTTGAAGATTACTTCGATGTCTTCATCATCCTTCAACTCCACAGCTGTGTAGTTGTTAACTCCAGGCCCAAGTCGTATTGGGTACTGAAAATGTATAGTTGTCACCCTTTCATTTGCATCTTTCTCACATTTTTTGTGGATGATTTTCTTCATCGTTTGTAGAGATAAACTTCTTCTTAAAGACACTAATTTGGTGGATGTTGAGTTGAAAGTGACTCCTTCAATAAGGCAGTTGTTCATAACACCATCATAGTAAACAATGACATATATAAAACTCATTTCTCTGAAAATAATAAAGGTAGAAATATTTTTATAGAGTGAGAACAACAAACAATCAAAGAAGGA